GTAACTTGTGACAGTGTAGGAGAGAAAGCTGGGTCCAGTGATTTTCAGTTCCTTGTTATTTTAGCTTTAGTCTGGGGCTTTGTGATGGGGCTTTTCCCTGTCTCTTGATCCATGAAAGTTTCCTGGGCTCCTGTCGGCATCACCCTTGAAGCAGTGCCCCTCTCTGGTCAGCGTCCCTGTGGAGCTGTGGGAGCAGCAGTGCTCTGTCTGTCACTCTGCTTTCCCTTCAGATATAGAGGAAGTTCCTCTTCCTGGCCTCCACTTCTGCTCTGAAACAACTCCCTCGCCCCATCGCGTCTCTCCCTTTCTCCTGTCTATCCCTCCATCTCTGTCTGTCTTTTCTTCCCTTTCTCTGTCTAGCATTTAACTCTACTCTTCCTTTCCTTTTTCTTTCTCGTATAGGGCGTTGAACCTAAGACCTTTACATGGAGCTACATTTCTAGCTCTTTATTTGTGATCAGGTCTTAATAAGTTGCTAATTTATCACAGCCTCCTGAGTGCTGGGATTACAGGTGTGCACCAACACACCTGGCTTTTTTTTTTTTTTATTGTCTTTGATATAGGGTCTTGCTGTGTAACTCAGGCTGGCCTTGAACTCATCATGTAGCACAGGCTGATCTTGAACTCACACTGGTCTTGAACTCCTGCCTCTGCCTCCCAAGTGCTGGAATTACAGACCTGTGTCGCCATGCCCAGATCTTTTCTTTTTTTTGTTTTTTGGTCTTTTTCACTTTTATCGGTACCAGGGATCGAACTCACGACTGCCTGCTTGCAAGGCAGGCACTTATGCCGCTGAGCTAAATCCCCAGCCCCTCCATGCCCAGATCTTTCAGCTTTCTTAAGATGAATTTGTCTTAGTTGTTTTCTTTTAAGCCAGGACATCGTGTTGTTCGTGATACTTCTCAATTTTGCCAATTCTTTTGCTGGCATGAATGATGTTGACCTGATTGTTCTGTAGGCAAAGCCCCCCCCCGTCATCTCCTGTAAGATCTTTGCTTCTGTCCATAGCTGGGGCACACAGTTTAGCAGAGAGGAAGGGGACTTGGAAGCAGGGTTTAGAGTGAGGTCATTCAGGTCTTCATTAGTATTTCTGAGCATATGAATAACTTCTGCCCATCTTGGGGAATTGTCTGAAATGACCAGGGTTAAGGTTAGGTAAATTTTTGTGACATGTCCATTGGCAGCTGTGCTGAACCCTCAGAAAGTTGCTCCAAGGTAGCTTGGAAAAAATTTCTGTAGCCCTGAAAGAGCTAAAAGCCCAAAGTGACAAATGGTGGTGAAAATCACCATAATTTTTGTCTTTTGGTTTTGTTGTTCACTCTGGCCTTGCACTCATAGTGGTCCTCCTGCCTTACCCTCCCAAGTGCTGGGGTTATAGGAATGCACCATAGTGTACCTGGCTGTGAATTGTTTTTGTTTTTGTTTTGTCTTTTTTATTGGTACCAAGGACTGAACTCACGACTGCCTGCTTGCAAGGCAGGCGCGTATGCCGCTGAGCTGAATCCCCAGCCCCTGTGAATTGTTTTTATATATAAGATATGAATGATAGTAACTCTATGTTGCAGATACTCTTTTTGCTTTGTTGCTTACATGAGTAGAGCTTTTTGTTGGTTGTCCTTTCCTTTACAGCTTCTTTTTTGGCTTTTTTACTAGGGTAGTTTCATTCATTTTTGTTTTCCACTTACAGAAACACTTAGGTTTCATGGGTCCCTTAGTTGTTGTTAATTGATTGCTCTTGGTTTTGGGTTCCCTTACCTGGGTGGAATAAAAAAAAGTTGTGAACTTTGGAATTTTTTTTGAAGACAGAGTCTCACTGTGTAGTGCAGGCTTGTCTTAAACTCATTATGTATCCTACGCTGGCCTTGATCTTGTGGCAATCCTCTTGCCTCAGCCTCCTACTAAAGTGCAAGGATTATATGCATGCACCACCATACCCTGCATGAGCTTTGATTGGGAGGGGGACTTTGGGAATCAAACTCATGACCTGGCACTTGCCAGGCAGGTGCTTTGCCACTGAGCTATATCCCCAGCCCCCTGAACTTTGAGTTTTAAAAAGAACTTTTGGTTCAATTGGTGTTTGTTTATGATATATAATAATTACATTCATTTAGGGAAATATCTCGTTTGGATCATTTTCATTACCTGCTTCCCACATTCAAGAAGTCTGTAAGACTTCAGTTTTGTTACTGAAAACCTTAAGGAGGTTTTTTTCTGCTACTGATCTGAGCTGCCACTCCGTCTAGCTTGACTCCCCTCTGCCTGCTTTCAGCTAGTACCTGAGGTGCCTCTGTGAGGAAAACCTGCTTTCTTCTGATGGAGCAATCTCCCCATGTCAGGCGCCCAGCCAGTCTGTCACACCCTGTCCTGCCTGCTTTTTTCCGCCCCTTTGGGGGACCAGGTTACTCTCCCCTTCTTCAATTCTTTTTCCTCTAGACATTTGAGAGAAAGGAAAGGAAAGGAAAGAGGAGAGAGGAGGATAGGCAAAGTGGAAGGGCAGAGAGAGGACCAGCTGAAAGTGAGCACTGCGATGTGTCCTCATGGTCATGGTTCCCTGTGTGGTAGCTCCCTCAGTGGCATGCCACCCTGCTCACTGGGTACCCTGTCTTTTTTTTGTTGTTGTCTTTTCTCATTTTTATCGGTACCGGGGATCGAACTCACAACTGCCTGCTTGCAAGGCAGGTGCTTATGCCCCTGAGCTAAATCCCCAGCCCCCGGGGTACCCTGTCTTTATGATGCTAACTCTTTCTAGTCTAGGTGACAGTCATTTGTTCTGTTCAGAAGCTCCTCCCCATGAGAGGTCCTGCGAGTCCATTTGGATTACTGGTGTCACACCATGACTCCTGGTGACCGAGATGGGGTCCTTCCTTGTGGGCGGGCACCTTTTCCTCTTCTGTGAGACCTCCTGAGCCACACGTGGGCTTTGTGGCGGGATTGGGAGGGGTGGGAAACCAGACCTGCAGCCCCTGATGGTCCCAGGGCAGGAAAGGTATGCCTCTGCCTTGCCACCCGCGCTCCTTGTGTTTCTGAATGGCTTTTTTATTTTTCCTTCTAAAAATTACAAAAATGATCTCCTAGCTTCCCCCCAAAAAAGTTTTGAAAAATAATTTAGCAATAATCTAACCACCTATGTAAGTTTTTTTCTTTAAATTGTGGATCAACTCCATACTTCATTTTATATTACCAGACTCTGACAGTATTTTTGTATTAATCTATTTAAACTTAACATTGTAGGTAACATTCTGTGTTGATAGAATTTCATAATTAGGATTTTTATTGGCTACAATACTCCATCAAGTGTTTAAACATCCCCTTCTCTTGGACATTTAGCTGTGTGTGTGTGTGTGTGTGTGTGTGTGTGTGTGTGTGTGTGTGTGTCTTTCCTCTGTGCTTTCCTTTTTTTCTCTTTCTTTAAGATGAGTTTTTGCTGTGTTGCCCCCTAAGTGATCTTCCTCAACTGGGCATGGGAGGCACATACCTAATTCCCATAGTTGCACACAGTCTTAGAACTTGAGGCAGTAGAGTTGTACATTTGAACCCAGCTTGGGTAATTTAGCAACTTGGACTGTCTCAAAATTAAAAATAAATAAATAGGATTGAGGATGGAGCTCAGTGTGAAGGTCTTGGGTTCAATCCCCAGCCCCCAATTCTGCCCCTACCAAAAAAAAGGGATCCTCCCTTCTCAGCTTCCTGAGGGCTGGCCTACAGGCAGACACTGCTGTGTCTGGCTTCTTTGTGCTTTTTTAATGCATTAGCGTTACAATTTTGTGTATGACTTTTGGGAATTTTCCTTCTTAGGTTAAGTTTCTGGAAGTGGACTTCCTATACTCTAGTTGGTCACTTACCTGGCAATGTGGAGCAATTACATTTCTTTCTAAAAAAGTTGTGCCAATCTGCTCGAATGGTTTCCAGCATTAATGTAGTATAAGAAATGTGGAAGCCAGAAGCGTCTTGGGATAGTGAAGCAGATGTAGGATTTAGGGCTGGACAAGGGATGGAGATGGCAAAGTTGCTCTTCCTTCTTCCCACAGGCTTGAGCCAGCCAGTTTGAAGCTCCATGTTTGTACTAGCGGGGTAGCTTAGGGGAGGCTCTTACCAGAGCATGGCTGTCCTCAGCCAGCTGCGTAGCTCTGTAGCTTGCTTCACGAATCACGAAAGAAGTGGGAGCATTAAGTTAAAGTAGCATTGTTGTTCTGGTTTTTGTGTATTACATTACAGTAGAATTTAGTTTCCTCCTAAACTGTCACCTGGCCAATTTGGTAACTATGTGGTCCCTTGAGGGTCACCCTACTCCTTGGGTTTATTCGACAATCAGTAACAATTCTAGAGTAAAAAGTCAAGGAATCGAGTGTGTTTGCTGAATAGAGAAAAAGTTGCCTAGGTAGGAGATGATGTAGTCAGGTGTCATGTACGAATCAGAGGTTTTCTAGAGGAGGGAAGCTTTGAACAATGCTTGAGAAGAGACTGGGGCCAGGTGTGGTGGCATACATCTATCTGTATTCTGAGCACTCGGTAGGCTGAGGCAGGAGGATCACTGTGAAATTGAGACCTGTCTGGGTTACACACCAAAAAAAAATAAAAAAAATAAAAAAATAAAAAGAAAGAAAGAAAGAAAAGAAAATGGGATGGGGCTGTGAGGCTGGCTGTTTGCTAGACACAGTTCATCACAGAGGTGATGAACACAGAGGTGTTGACCCTAGATTCTGGCCCATGTGAGACAGGTACACCCTGTCTTATGACCATTCAGTCAGTAGGGACTCATAGGTACTGAGATCCATGCTCTTCCAGGCAGGGTTGCCACTAAATGTATGTTTCTCTTTCCACCTCTCCCCCTACCTTCCAGCATTTTAGGAACCTCTTAGGGTAAGACTCACTGTGTAACTTCTGTCATAGAATATGAGATTCTACGTGGGTGTAGCAGCAGTGCATGTGGGACAGTGTAAAGATGGTGTCAGAGTCGTGTGGCCCTAGTAGTCACTGATGGTGTCCTGTTTCTGTTGCAGCCTTTGGTGAGCCTCCAGCCATGGGGGATATGAAAACCCCCGATTTTGATGACCTTCTTGCTGCCTTTGACATCCCAGACCCCACAAGCCTTGATGCCAAGGAGGCCATCCAGACCCCCAGTGAGGAGAATGAGAGTCCGCTCAAGCCCTCAGGCATGTGTCTGGATGAGAGTGTGTCCTTGTCTCACTCAGGATCTGCCCCGGATGTGCCAGCCGTGAGTGTCATCGTCAAGAACACCAGCCGCCAGGAGTCCTTCGAGGTGGAGAAAGACCACATCACCTCTAGCCTCCTGCACAATGGTTTCCGTGGCCCAGATCTGCCTTCGGATCCCCCCAACTGTGGGAAGTTTGACTCCACTTTCTTAAATGGAGATAGCACCAGGAGTTTCTCTGGCAAGCTGGAGCCTGTTAAGTCTGAGCCATTACCTACCTTCAACCAGTTCAGCCCGATCTCCAGCCCAGAACCTGAGGATCCCATCAAAGACAATGGGTTTGGGATAAAGTCCAAGCACTCAGACAGTTATTTCTCACCCCCTCCTGGATGTGGGACTGTGGGGGGCCCAGTACTGGAGACATTGTCCAAGTTTCCAGTCCCAGAACTGCACATGTTTGATCACTTTTGTAAGAAAGAACCCAAGCCCGAGCCCATGCCCTTGGAGAGCCAGGAGGAACACGCACGAGGTGGGCAGAAGGTGGCGGAGCCCCACAGAGAACTGGATTCCAGTCGATTCTTTGGGGAAGCTTTGGACTTCAACAGCCACCATGGCCACAGTATCAGTGAGCCCAAGAAGCCTGCCCTGGAGCTGGGAGCCTGCTCATCTGTGCCCCCCAGACAGCGACTCAAGCCTGCTCACTCCAGGCTGTCCTCATGTGTTGCAGCCTTGGTGGCCTTGCAGGCCAGAAGGGTGGCCAGTGTCACCAAGGAAGATCAGCCTGGCCACGCAAAGGATCCCTCAGGGACCACCAAAGAGGGTTCTAAAGGTAGCCCCAAAATGCCAAAGTCACCAAAGAGTCCCCGGAGTCCTCTGGAGGCCACTCGGAAAAACATGAAGCCATCAGACAGCCCTCGGAGCATCTGCAGTGATGGCAGCAGCAGGGGCTCCCCGTCTGTGGCTGCCAGCTCCCCCCCAGCCATCCCCAAAGTCAGAATCAAAACCATCAAGACATCATCAGGGGAAATCAAAAGGACCATTACCAGGATCCTGCCAGATCCTGATGATCCAAGTAAGTCCCCTGTGGGGTCACCTGTAGGGAGCACCATTGCTGAGACCCCAGGCGAGGTGCCAGGGGATGAGGGCACAACCGTGCCTGTGGAAGGGCACCTTCCAGAGGCAGGCACACATTCAGGGAGCCCCCAGGGTGACAGGAAAGGGGATGAGAATGTGACAAAAGCTGGTGACTCTTCATCTCCCTGCAACAGCTCTGTGCTCCAGGTCCCCAAGGGGGCAGCCCAGGCCTCAAAGATGGGCAAAAAGCAACAGAACGCGGCTCCTCAGGCCCCAGCCCCTGCCAGTCTCCTGCCCAAAGCCGTGCACCTGGCCAACCTCAACTTGGTCCCCCACAGCGTTGCTGCATCAGTGACGGCCAAGTCATCTGCACAGAGACAGAGCCAGCCCCAGCTCACGCAGATGTCAGTGCCCCTGGTGCACCAGGTGAAGAAGGCTGCCCCCCAGATCGTGGAAGTGTTCAACAAGGTCCTCCACAGCTCCAACCCCGTGCCCCTCTATGCACCCAATCTCAGCCCACCCGCAGACAGCAGAATCCACGTGCCGGCCAGTGGCTACTGCTGCCTGGAGTGTGGGGACGCATTCGCCTTAGAGAAGAGCCTGAGCCAGCACTACAGCCGGCGCAGCGTCCACATTGAGGCACTGTGCACACTCTGCTCGCAGACATTGCTTTTCTTCAACAAGTGCAGCCTTCTCCGGCATGCCCGTGATCACAAGAGCAAGGGGCTCGTCATGCAGTGCTCTCAGCTGCTTGTGAAGCCCATCGCTGCTGATCAGATGTTCGTGTCAGCGCCCCTGAGCATCCCGGCCCCGGAGGCCTTGGCCACCTCCTCATCTCCCAAACATGGCGTCACCTCAGGCAACAGCAACCCCCCGCCCCCAGCTTTTCCACTCTACCCAGACCCAGTGAGGCTCATTCGGTACGGAACCAAATGTCCTGAATGTCACAAACAGATGCGGGACTACATGGTCCTGGCTGCACATTTCCAGAGGACGTCGGAGGAAACCGAGGGGCTGGTAAGCAGGCCCTGGCTCCAAGGGGTTCCATGTTGGGTGCTGGGAGCACCACTGGGGTTGCATTGTCTCACAAGAAAACTCTGATTCACCTGGACACAGCAGTTGGTGTTTACTGGGGGACAAATCTGGCCCTTAACAAGGGGAGACCTTGAAGATGTGTGAATGGGTCATGACTGCCCCTCAGTCTACCCTGCCCTCAACCTCTGGGCTGCAGGCCTGTTATCAGGCCCAGGTGGGGTCTTGGCTGGATCACTACCTGGGGTTTGGCAGGTGTCTGGGCTTGTCCCCAGAAAGCCTGGGAACAAGGTGGGTGTCACTGTCTCTTTGTCTCACTGTTCATTTGAAGACTATGTTTTTAGTAATTTGTTCTGCCCTGCTGTGGCCATACTGTCTTACTGAGTCCCCTTGGGGACACTTTGGCAGGGCCTGCGGCAGGGCTGGAATGGGAGGAAGGAGAGTGCAGGTAGAGAATTCGTGGGTGCTGTGGCCTCCTCTTACCCAGGTTCGAACCACTGCTTGCTCCGATTCTTGGTTATGCTTGCTGAGCAATTTATTTTTAGAGGCATTCTGCACTTGTGGCTGTAATAGCAGGTCCCCTTGTAGAGGTGGCTCCCAACGTGCTCCCACCTGTCTTCTGAAGCCAGGGCTAGAGGACCTGGGAGGGGAGCAGATCGCACTATGCATCTCAGTTCATCTGGGACCATGCTGCGTTGGTACCAACAGGCTGCACATGTTTTCCCAATGCTTGCCATGCTCTGGCCCCTGTGCTGCTCAAGCAATGCCATTTTCCTCTGGGAATGCTCAGTGGCTCAGCAAGGGCAGTTGTCATACCCAGTAGCTGCAATGGGGGACAGACTGAGATTGGGGCCAACCTAGATGATGAACCTACTTGTACAAAGTGCTTTAGAGGCACTAATTCATAGTGATTGCAAGTATAGGGACAGTGGCTCAGGAAGTGACATTTTGGCTGGGTCTGGGAAATTGAATTTAGAGGAGGGAAAGAGGGGAGGGGGTGCAGGCACTGAGAGCAAAGTTCTGAGCTCAGGCAGCGTGAGCTGAGGAGTGTGGAGGGAGGCTGCGGACGGTGCTGAGGAGAGGCAGCTCTAGCCTGATAATCTCTGGGTTTCTTGGAGTCTGGGGTGCCACAGTGTCACTCTGTGCCCCCTTGCCCTCTCCTTTCCGGTTGGTTTCCTGCCAGGGAGTCAGATGGTGAGTGGCTGGCCACCCTTCCCTGGGGCTGTGCGTGCTTTGTAGGTGTGTATACTGAGTGGGGCTGTGGGCCCTCCTGATCCTGTAATGAGGACCTGGGATGGCGGAGGCAGAAGCTTTTGGTTTTCCATGCCATGTCTTACCATCTTCTGAAATCTGTGTTGGCAGAGGTCAGGGTTTAGGTGCGCAGGTTGGCACTCTTGTCACTCACCTTTGGTGCTCTTCTCCCCTTGGGCCAGCCTGGGAGTGTGGCAGGGGCTGGTGGACTCTCAGCCCCTGGAGTCCTGCATGTACGTGCTTCCCTGCCATGGAGATGGCCTGGGACTCAGGAGGGGGCTGAGGACTAAGGTCTGCGATCTTGAAGTGACCTCAGTGACCATTGGTCTTCTGGGTTTTTTTGTGACACTCAGGCCAGTATCCAGGCAGGAGGGCACTGATGGGGTGAGGCAGACTCCATACCAATGCAAGGCTGCAGAACAGCAGTTTGGGTGTCTGTCCTCTGTCTGGACAGCTGCTGGCTGTCCGTCTGCCTCCCTCCCAGTGTAGTCTTCTAATTCTCCCCCCATGGTCCCAGTTACCTTGGGAGGAAGAGGTCCACACAGAGGAACTTTTTTCTTTTTCTTTCTTGTTTTGTTATTATCACACCTATTAAGTCGAATCACAATTCCTTAAATACATAAGGCAAGTTCACACCTTTGCAGTTATGTAGGGAAAAGAAGTCTTATGTAGCTCAGTGGTAGAGCACTTGCTTAGCAAGTGTGAGGCTCTGGTTAAAAAATTAGTTTTACATTTGGGCTTGTTTTTTGCTAATTTTTTCATAATGGTGGGGATTAAAGCCAGAGCACTGTACTTACTAGCCAAATGCTGTGCCACTGAACCACTCCCTAGCAGGGACTTATTTGAAATCAGCATCTAGATACAAGCCACATGCCACTGTTTCTGTCAGCTCTCAGTCACTTGGCCTGTGGCCCCACCTTCCCACTCCACCCCAGATGGCCTGGTTGAAGAAACTGGGTCACGTGTCCTAGGAATTTTCCAGGATAGTCCTGAGGGTCACTTCCTCATACAGGTAATTTTTCCTGTATGCACCATATTTTGCCTCCAAGCCAAAATTTAGCAAGAATGACCTGACTAGGGACTGAGGGTGTAGCTCAGTGGTAGAGAGTTTGTCCAGCACACACTGGACCCATACCCAGCCTGAAAATAAAATACAGCTTTGCCTTCTCTCCCTGCTCCCCTCTACTCTCTCCTCCGCACTCCCCTCTTTCTTCCCCTCCTATCCTCTCTTCTTTTCTCTTCTTTTCAGCAGTACTGGGGATGAAGCCAGGGCGCTTGCAGTGAGCTTCACTGAGGCAGCATTATGGCAGGGAGACTGGGCATCGGGGCAAGAGCTGTCATGGAGAGCCATCAAACCACTGAGGCCCAGTGAGAGGGGGACACAGGAGACCCAGCTGTGCCGTGGCCACCATCTTTGTACTCCCGCAGTGGCCCACTCTGCATGCAGAGTGTATTTGCTTACTTCTTCAGACCACTGCTGAGCACTTCTTTCCAGAGCACTTCTTTTCTTCATTTTATTTATTTATACATTTTTGGTATCAGGAATTGAACTCAGGACCTTATGCTTGACAGGCAGGTGCTGTGCCACTGAGCTATATCCCCAGCCCTTTCTTCTTCATTTTAGAGCATCTCTTCTTTCTTTCTTTTCAAGGAAAAGAACAGAATCTCCAGCCCTTTTTTAGTTTTTATCTGAAGACAGGGTCTTGCTAAGTTGCCCTGGCTGGGTTCAAACTTGTCATCCTTTTGGTTTAGCCTCCCATAGTGCTGGGAATACAGGTATGTGCTACCATGCCCAGCTGCATACAGTTTAAGTGTGGCCAATGGAGGGAAAGGAGAAGGGACAAAAGAGGAAGGAGGGAGCCAAGAAGGGAGAGGGAGGAATTTGATTAGGTTCAGGTAGAGTTTAAAGCTGAAGGGGTAATTCCAACACTTGGGAGGCTGAGGCAGGAGGATTGCCTGAGCTACATAGCAAGACCTTGTCTCAAAAAACCAAAGAAAGGGAGGAAGGCTGGCTGTTGTTCTTGTTTATGGTTGCAGGAGTCACAGATGCCTGATTTTTTTGTTTGTTTTGTTTTTAGATAGGATCTTACTATGCAGTTCAGGCTGGCCTTCAGTGTAGATATAGATATAGATATAGATAGAGATAGAGATATATACATACATACCCACTCAGGGAACACTGAGGTACATTCCCAGCCTTTTATTTTATTTTTATCTTTTTAATTTTTTTTTTTAATCGGTACTGGGGATTGAACTCACGACCGCCTGCTTGCAAGTTAGGCGCTAACGCTGCTGAGCTAAATCCCCAGCCCCACAGATTTTTTTTGGAATTTTAAAATTTAATTAATTTATTTTTTGCTTTTTTGAAGAAGGTCTCCTTACACAGTTCAGGCTAGCTTTGGGGGTCTCAAACTTGCAAATGATTTTCCTGCCTCAGCCTCTCAATCCCCAGCCTTTTAATTTTTTTTTTGCCTTTTAAATTTTTTAAGTTTTCTTTTCTTTTGAGACAGGTTCTTGCTATGTACTTTAAGCTAGCTTTGAACTCATTATGTGGCCTAAGCTGGCCTTGAACATATGGTGATCATCCTGCCTCAGTCTTCTGAGTGCCAGGACTATAGGTGTGTGCCACACACCTGGCTATTTTATTTTATTTTTTGAGTCGAAGTCTCACTATGTGGATCAGACTGACCTTGACTCACTTTGTAGCCCTGGCTGACCTTGAACTTGCACGCCTTCTCCTGCGTCAGCTTCCCAAATGCTATAATTACAGGCATTTGCCTGTAATTGTACCCCTGGCTTATTTGGGGGGAGGGTCCTGGGATTTGAACTCATGACCTCTCACTTGCCAGGCAGACACTTAATGCCACTGAGCTAAATCCCCAGCCCCACCTGGCCTAATTTTTAAATTTTGAGACAGCACCTCACTAAGTTGTTGAGGCTGGCTTGGGATTTATGATCTTCCTGCCTCAATCTCCTGGGTAGCTGAGATTATGTGTTTACCACCATACTTGGGAAGCTCCCTACCTTTTACCTAATGATTAGATTAGATTTTTTGTTGTTGTTATTTGCTTGTTTGTTTGAAATGTGGTCTCACTGTGTGACCCAGTCTGGCCTTGAACTCACTGTGTGGCCCAGGCTGGCCTCAGTCTTGCAGTGATTCCCCCGTGTCAGCCTGCCAAGTGCTGGAATTGCAGGTGCATGCCACCACATCCGGTCTATTAATTTTTAAATCTTGGTAAAATGCATATAAAGTTTCCCAGTTAGCCATTCTTGGAGAGCTTGTATGGAGGTTCTAGCAGGCAGTGTAGCTACTTGCATACCCTTCACCAAAGAGATCGCCTGCCTCTGTCGGGACTGGTTGTCTCTTCGACCTGTTGCCAGCTTTGGGAGGGACACACATGGAGCAGTGAGGGAGGACGGGGATGTCAGCCTAGCCAGCCAGGACAACCAGATCAACCCGGGTGATCAGTGCAGGAGAGTGACAGGTACTGCAGTCAGATAACCCTCATACCTCCAGTTAGCCATTTCTACCTGTTCAGGTTGCCAGTGTTGAGTACATTCACATTGTTCAACCGGTCTCCAGAACTCATCTTGCAAAACTGAAGCCCTGGACCAATGAGTCAACAATGTCTCATTTTACCCCCTCTCACAGCCCCTGCCAGTCATCTTTCTGATTTGTTGCAGTAAACTTGTCTACTCTAGGTGCCTTATATGGTGGACTTGTGCAATAGTTGTCATTTTATCCCTGGCTTATCTCACTTGGCATGTCTTCAAGGTCATCAATGTTTATAGCCTTTGTCAGAATTCCTGCTTTTGAAAGGCTGAACACTATTCTGTGTGTGCATGTATGTATGTACTACATTTTAAATCCATTAATCCTTGGGTATCTTCCATGTTTTTACTAGTCTGAATAATGTTAGTATGAAATTGGGTATAACAGTATCTTTTTTGGGCTTTACCTTTGAATCTTTACACTATATGCTCAGAAATGGCATTTTGGATTATATGGTAATTCTGTTTAATTTTTGAGGAACCACCATACTATTTTCAGCAACCATACCATTTCACATTCCTACCTACAGTGTACAGGTACCAGTTTCTCTGTATCCTCACAATACTTACTGTCTTGTATAATAGCATCTTAATGGGCATGATGTGACCTCTTGAATATTTATTGATTTATTTTTGTAGAACTGGGCATTGAACCCAGGGCCTTTGCACTGAACTAACTTCCCAGCCTGATTGATTGATTTTTTTTTTTTTTTTTTTGTCTTTTTCCCTTTTTATCGGTACTGGGGATCGAACTCATGACTGCCTGCTTGCAAGTCAGGCACTTATGCCGCTGAGCTAAATCCCCAGCCCCCTTATGTTTTTTTTTTTTTTTTTGTGATTGATTGATTGATTGATTGATTGGATTGGGTCTTGCCAAGTACTGAGTTTCCCAGGCTGGATTCAAATTCACTGTCTTCTTGTCTTGGCTTTCCAGAGTATCGGGATTACAGACATGTTCCACTCTGCCTGGTTGTATGATTTTTTAAAATGATATAAAATCTTTATGGTTTCAAAGTTAAAAGTATAACAAGGTGCACTCAGGGAAGTCTCACTTTTGTCCTGAGCTCTTTACTTTGCTCCTTTCTTCCTCATATGTACGAAGCTGTAAAAACAGGGTTTGGTTTTGTTTTGGTTTGGTTTGAGGCAGGGTCTCACTATGTACTTCAGGTTGGCCTTGAAATGCGTAGCCCATATGACCTTGAACTTGTGGCGGTCTTCTTGTGTCACCCTCACAAATGCTGGGGTTACAGGAGGGTGCCACCAGGCCTGACGGTTTTTAGTTTTTATGCCTCTGTTACCTTTTGTGTGTGTGTGTGTGTGTGTGTGTGTGTGTGTGTGTGTGAGCATTGTTTTCTCTTACACAAAGTTAGGCTGTTCTGCTTCTAAAATCCATACTTCAGAAAAACTTCTGAAGATTTATATTATGAAATATATTTAAAAGTGGAAAGAACTGAATGTGGTGGTACATGTCGGTAGTCCAAGCATGTGGGAGATTGAGGCTAATGGTTTACCAGCTCAAGACCAGCCTAAGCCAGGTGTGGTGGTTCACACCTGTAATACCAGCTCTCCAGAGCTGAGGCAGGAGGATCACTGCGAGTTTGACACTAACCTGGGCTACACAATGAGTTTAAAGTGTCAGCTTGAACTGTATAAGGACACCTTACACACACACACACACACACACACACACAAAAAAAAAAAAAAAAAAAAAAAAAAAAAAGAAAAGAAAGAAAGAAAGAAAAAAAAAGAACGAGCTGGGGATTTAGCTCAGTGGCATAAGCGCTTGCCTGGCAAGCATGAGGTCATGAGTTTGATCCCCACAACCAAAAAAAAAAAAAAAAAAAAAAAAAAAAACCAACAACAAAAATACTGACCTGGACTGCATATAGCATGATCCTGTCTTTAAAAAAGATGGAAAGAATGTTTTAACGAATCCTCCATGAAGAATTGTCAACTTGTGGTTCCATTTTATATGTATATATATTCTTACCCAGTGCTCTTCCCCAATGGATAGATTTTATTTTTAAACAGATTCAGGCATCAGCATATCTGTAAATACTTTAGTATGTAGTTCTGTGTTAGTTTTCTGTTACTTAAAACAATTACCTGATGCTATCAACTTATAAAGAAAGCAAGCTGCTTTTGGCTTATAGTTTTGGAAAGTTCAGTGCATGGGTAGTTGGCTTCATTGCCATGGGCCTGTGCCCCACATCATCTGGGAACAGGTCTTGGACAAGAGGAAGAGGCTGGGACCCACTAAATCCTGACCCAAAGATCTTCTGTGTTTCATACTTCCCCATAGTGAAGTCTTTAGTTCTGTAGGCCTTTTTGGTGGACACTGCAGGTCCTTCAAACTATAGCAAGCTCTTAGTTTACACCAAGCTCTAGTTTATAGTGAGTGGTAAAAGATAAAGTTCTTTTTGTTGTTAGAAAATGTGAAGATGATGCCACATCTAAAAATAAGGGTTTTTTTTGAGATGATATCTTATCATTTAGTTCAGGCACACTTGGAAGTCATTGTGTAACTCAGGCTGACCTCGAACTCATGGCAATCCTCCTGTTTCTGCCTTGCAAGTGCTGGGATTATAGGCATGCACCTCCATGCCTGGTCACATCTAAAAATTAATAGTAATTTCTTACTAAATCTTAAGTGTAAAATATCCTGATATAAAGTTAGTATTTACATGTCTCTAGTTGTCTTCTTTTTACACTTGCTTGTTTGACTCAAAATTCAGTCAAGGGCTTTGCATTCCACCTGATTGAAAATCTCTCTTAAAACTTTTCTTTTTCGATACTGAGGCTGGAAACCATGGCCTCTGCATGCTAGGCAAGTGCTCTACACCGAGCTGTGTCCCAGCTTATCTCCCCTTTAGTCTGTAAGTTTCCATTCTCTGTGTCTGTCTTTTTCCATCACAATTTGTTGAAGACCTTGGATTATTTGTCTAGGAGTCTGTCATTCTGCAGTTTGGTTAAAGCAGAGAATTTTTCCCTGTCATTCAACAGTTCGTCCCCTGAGTACCTGCTCTGATCCTGGGTCAGTGGCCCTCTTGGCCAGTCATATATGCACCTCATTTTCACTAAAGGAGCACCCTGTCCTGTTCTGCTGACGCCTTTGGGCTTACCTGGGTTCTTCACATGATGGGACAGCTGCAGCTGCAGTCCCATAGGCGCAGAGGGAGCTGGCAGGCTTCTCTGACTCATGAGGTGGCACGCATCGCTTGCTGAGCATCAGTGTGGACATCTGGAATGAGATCTGGATGTTGCCAGTGTCCTTGGCGAGCTGGAAATGAGAACTGTTGGGGAAAGAGGCTCTCGACCCATGTCCCAGGAGAGCCAGGCCGCTGGGGCGGGAAAGCTGCAGGGCTGTGTCACTTCATGACCTGCTTTTTTGGTGTTCTTTCCTAGACATGCCAGGTGTGCCAGATGCTGCTGCCCAACCAGTGCAGCTTCTGTGCACACCAGCGGATTCACGCGCACAAGTCCCCCTACTGCTGCCCGGAGTGTGGAGTCCTCTGTCGCTCTGCCTACTTCCAGACCCATGTCAAGGAGAATTGCCTGCACTATGCCCGCAAGGTGGGCTACAGGTGGGTGCTGTCTGGCTCCCTGCCCTGGTATTGCCCAATGACCAGTCCCAGAACTAGTCTGAACTTTAGAGTGACATTTGGTCTTACAGGTCTACTATTGCAAGAATGTTGATTGGTATGTAGATTGTAGAGGATCCAAGAGCAAGAAGACAGAAAATGAGTTCAAAGAAATGAGATACTTTTGAAGGTGGGCACGGTGGTACAACCTGTAATCCCAGCTACTCAGGAGGCTGAAGCAGGAGAATTACAAGTTCAAGCCCAGCTTGGGCACCCTGTCTCAAAATTTAAAAAAAAGTCTAGGATATAGCTCAGCGTAGAGCACTCCTAGGTTGACCCTCAGTATCACATACACACACAGAAAAGGAAAGAAAAAGATTTGAAGGGGAAAGTTTTTGGGGGTTGTTAATTTGTCTTTTTTGAGATGAGGACCTCACTATGCTGCCCAACTTGGCCAGCCTCAACCTTCCCAGGAGCTGGGACTACATGTGTGCCCAGCTTTCTATTTACTTGTAAAGGTATAATAAATTTAATTCACTCACAAAGTTACTGTGTTTGCCATATTAAATTTATAGTAGTTTTGATAGTAAGTTTAATTGCAATATTTTGAAATGTTCTAGTTTTCATTAATAAAAGTTATCCAGCCTTTTTGTAAAACTTGAAATTCAAAGGGCTCTAGTATCTTCATTTTGTTAGTTTTTGTCAGGTTGTGAGAAACAAAACCTGAGAATGGAATAAATGAGCAACTTTATGGTAAAACCAAGAAAACTCGTTTTGTACCGAATCTCCTCTGTCAAGCCCCCCCCCCCCCACTGGAATTGAACCTGGAGCTTTCATGTTGAGCTACATTCTCAGCACCCCTGCATTTTTTTTTTTTTTAATTTTTAATTTTGAGACAAGATCTTGCTAAGCTAGTAAGTTGGTGAGGCTGAATTTGAACTTGGAATTCGCCTCAGCCTCCCACAGGACTGGGATTATAGGCATGTTCTACCACACTTTTGTGTTTTTTTTTTTTTTTTTGCCACCACATTTGTGTTAAACATTTATAAGCAAGAAATCGTGTTCAAGAAAAAGACTAGACTGAGCAAAGCTTACTCTAAAAGTCATAAATCTGCAACTTTTACTTTGACCCAATTAGATCTCCAAGTTGGGAACTTTTACCTTATTATTTTGGTTTCTAAAAATTAATTTTGACTAAATTTAGACACATTTTCTGCTCTTTGGATTTTTTTTTTTTGTGTGTGTGTGTGTGTGAATTTTAATGATAAAAAGGGCACAGGAATAGAAATCTGATATTTCACTTATATTGCATAACAAGCTAACCAAACTGGACATGGAAGATAAATTATAAAACAAATCACTTTACTTATTGTTCTTATGACTTTTTCTGTCGCTTGAATAAGGCTGAGGTATAGTACACTGGCAAAAATAGTTAAGAGGCAAACAAGAATAGTGCCAAAGTAACAGATACCCAAAACCAAATGCCATGTAAAAAACATACAGCAACCATTTTTCAGATCAGAGCAGCAGGAGAAAGTTACTTCTAAATCATAATCATTTCAGTGGTCTTTGTCAACTTTGCCACATTAACTTAGCAACATCATTCTTCATTTGTAAAATTCATGTCAAAAAAGGGAAAGGGGCTGGGGAAAGTTCATTCCAATAAATTACCTCTCCAGTTCTCATACACATGCCCATCAGCACAAAATTGAGAAATAATATCTAAGGCTAGGAGATTTTAAGTTATGAAGCAAATTAAAATGGAAAAAAATTCAAGAAAATGGAACCAATGGGGTTGAAAAAGCCCCTCACTGAAAAATCTGTATTAAAAAGAATAAAATTAATAAAAATAAAAGTAGAAATAAAACTCTACTAGTATACAAACTAGCCTGAGTGGTTCGATGGACAGAGTGATTGGGTCAACTGTCACTGTACTTCTATAAATGGGTTTTCTTCATGTTAAAGTGGTACATGAATGTAAGCTATTAAGGACAGGTTCTATATATTCATAGGACCCAAATAGTTACTGTATATCCTATAAATAAAAATATTTTACTTTGATAACTGACTGAATACATGGGGACTCCATGTAAGCAACCACATGGTTGTTTACTGTACAGTCCTGTGCAAGTATAAAAAAAAAAAAATTTTTTTTTTTGCTATAAGGCTTTGACCCTACAGTTTTCATAGCAATATAACTACCATCCAGCATGTACCATATTTTGCAAGCTCTTTGGAATTTTGAAATTTTTATTCTCATTTGTCTTTTATGTGTGTACTTACTGTCTTTAGCAAATTGCTAGATACTCAGAGTACAAAGATGAAGATGATTTTTTAATATAGGCAGGGAGTTGTACAATCACTACCAATAATTTTAGAGCATTTTAACTATCCAAAAAGAAACCCCATACTTGCCAGTCCTCTTACTCCTTTAACCATAGGCAACCACTGATTTACTTTTGGTCCCACAGACTTATCTTCTGTGTATTTTATGTAAATGCAGTCCTACAATATGCAGTCTAGCATTATATTTTTCAGATTCAGATGTGTTGTGACATCTGTCAGTCTTTCATTCCTCTTTATGGCTGAATGCTATTCCATTGTATGGATAGACCTCATGCATGTTGATTCTTCAGTTGATAGATGTTTGGGCTATTTCCACCTTCTGCCCCTTACAAGTAATGCCGCAAGTGAACATATGTGTGTGAGTTATTGTGCGGACCTTTGTTTCCCTTTTAAGAATATACGTAGGAGTGGAATCTTTGGTTCAAATGATAACTTGTACTTTAACATCTTGAGACTCTGTCAGCCTGTTTGTCTCCGTGATTGTACTCCCACAAGCAGTGTATTAAAGGTTTAAGCTCTACATCCTTGCCAACATTTTCTGCTGTCCGACTCTATGATTGTATCTGTTCTTTGGACATGAAGTGGTATCCTATTTGCATTTTTCCTGAGGTTGGTCATATTAAGTGTGTGCTTATTGTGCTTATTGGCCATGTGTGTCTTTGAAAATGTTGATTCAGATTCTTTGCCCATTTAAAAATTGGGTTGTCATCTTGTTATTGAGTTACAAGCATTCTGTGTATATTCTGGACATAAGTCCCTTATTATATACATTTGTTTTAAATACCCATTTTTTTGGCATTAATAAATTCTAAAAACATAGATGTGTTTTACTTTACTGACTTCTGTAAGAGTTTTACAATATTATTTTGTTTTAACATTATTTTTGCTTTTTGTTAAGACAGTGAAAAAGCCCAACATATTATATATGTATATCATTGTGCAGTGGGTATGTTTTGTGTGAAATGTAGCTATATGGATATGTTTTAGAATTTTATTATGTGTTCTACCCTTCATTGGTAATTTGGAGAGTAGCAGTGATGTCATAAGGAAGAGAGATTAGCCTGGTTTTGCCTTCTTTTCTTCTCTTTTTTTGGGGGGGACAGGTCTTACTACATAGTTCAAACTGGCCTTGAACTCACCGTATAACCCAGGCTCGTGCAGTTTCCCTGCCTCAGCCTCCTTGAGTGCTGGGATTACAGGTGTGTGCCACCATGTCCGGCATTGCTTTCTTTTTTTCTTTTGCTTAGAACCCTTGTTGATCCTCTGCACTCCTCAAAGGGAGTCAAGGTGTGCAGGACGCAGGGGGCCCTGAGCCCTTCTCCCCTTACCCCCCATCTTTTGGTTCCTGTTCCATTTGCAAAAAATCTACCTTCTTGTTTTCTATTATCTCTTATTTTGCTCTTCAAATTATTTATATTTTTGGTCTCTCAGATTAGAGAAACCATGGAGTATTTAAACTGTGTGTCTGGTTTATTTCTTTTTTTATTATTTAAAGAGAAAAAAGAAAGGACATAAAAAAAACAAAGCAGTAAAAGGGTACAAGTAATACAGAATTTCAAGAAAAAAAATATACAGTAAGAAATCATTAGTTAATAGGAAATCATTAGTTAATAGGTTATGTATTGTCTTCTTAGAAACAATTGTCCAAATTATAAAATTAAAGCATATAAAGTGGACATTCGTACAGTGATATTGGAGACAGTTCCATTCAGTGATCCAACAAAACCTCAGTAATATGGTTTTCCATCCTGCACACTCAAACATACCTGCGGTTATATCCCTTAGTCCACCTTCCTTTCCTCTCTTTTACAATAACAATTACACTTTTGGGGTTTTATTACACCCACAGTTCTTATTACTTTTTTTGAAGAGAATAAAACCAAACGTGACTAAGCAAAACAGAGTCAGTTAGAACAGAAGGGTGGGCATAGAACATGATGCAGAAACAGAATAGCAGGTGATCAAAAGTGGTTATCATTGTGCCTCTTGCTATTCTTAAATTGAGTTGCCTATATCATCAGGTATAATAGAATTGATCAAAATAGTATAGAACAAGACCAATAAAACCTACACTGGAGATGTGTCTGGTTTATTTCTGTTAACATTATTGTCTCAAGGTGTGTCTGTTTTCCTGCAAGGACTTTTAATCATGGTATTTTCTTATTTGTGACCATTAGCAGATTTAAACATCTTAGGCTATATTCTCTTTTCTGATACCTCACATGTTTTCCAACATGCAATTGTTGTATAATTGTTTGCTTTCTTTTAAGAAAAGCTGTCCAAGGTTGAGTTATGAGGTTGGATTCTTCATCAGTGTATTTACCCATCAGGCTCAGTGCTTCTGGAAGCATGCATCCTTTTACCCTTGTGTTCTTTCTGTGGATGCAGTTTCATTTCCCTTCCCTTCCCTTCCCTTCCCTTCTCTTCTCTCTCTCTCTTTCTTTCCAAATCCATTTTATTTCAACATTAAAAAAAAAAAAAAAAAAGGAAAAGAAGAAAAAACTACAACAAAATTTCTAAGCATGTCAACCAGGGCAATAGTGGTACATACATTGTGCACTGTCATCCCCAAGTCATTCACCCAGAGCATAAAACATCTGCATGCAATTGTGCAAACAATACCAACACAAATCTTTATCTTCAGTGAAGAGAAATCCATAGTATCATTAGTAAGTATCTTAGCTACTATTTTTATAAACATGTACATACATTTATACATATACACACAGGTATTCGTATGTTTTTTCTTTCAGCTTCTCACACTGATGAAACAATATGATTTTACATGTGTGTTTTTAGAATTTATTAATGCCAAAAAAAATGGGTATTTAAAACAAATGTATATCTCACTAATGAATATGTTCTCAAGATGCATCCATTTGCCTATAAGTGTCCAGTTTATCCTCCTTTATGGCTGAATAGTACTCTAGTGTATATATCTTTTTTTATCCATCCCTCAAGTAGGTGAGCATTTAGGTTGTTTCCAAGATCTGGCTTTTACAAACTATGCTGCTATAAACATGAGTGCACATACATCACTGTGGTATGATGTTTTTTTAATTCTTTTGGGAATACCTGGAAGGGGAAGAGCTGGGTTAAATGGGACCTCTAGTCCTAGTTTTTTCAGGAATCTACATACTGATTTCCACAGTGGTAGTACCAGTCTGCATTCCCACCAGTGGTGGAGAAGGGTTTCTGTTTCCCCATGGCCCTTTCAGCATTTGTTATTGGTTGATTTCTTGATAGTAACCATTCTTTCTGAGGTGAGGTGGAATCTCAGTGTTGTTTTAATTTGCATCTCTCAAATGACCAGTGATGTCGAAGCAGCTTAGTTTAGCTTAACCTAGCTTTGCTTTGCTTTATTCTCTCTTTCTCTCCCTCTCTCTCTCTTTTTCTTTTTGAGACAGGATTTCATTGTGCAGTTTAGTCTTGTCTTGAACTAGCTTTGTAGCTCAGACTGGTCTTGAATTCTCAGCAATCCTCCTGCCTCAGCCTCCTGAGTGCTGGGATTATAGGCAGTTTCTCAAAGAACACTTACTACATCAAATAGATTTGCAGTGGCATTTTATATTGTTTCTGCAGAAATTTGGTCAAATTGTCCAAATAAAGCCACGTAAGAGAGAAAACCATTTTGCATATTTCAAGTGTACCGGTTCACTTTCGATGAATTTGGTAACGTGGATTTTTTTTCTCCTCCTAATTTGTGCAGTGGTGGTGAACCTATAGCGCATATGCTGCAGCTGTTTATATCCTTGAAAGCTCTGAAAGATTTGCCATCATGGCCTTATACATTGTATGGAGAGCACCCATCTACACGAGCAGTGTGTGAGTGTGTGTGTGAGGTCCTCAAGTTTTACTATTTTTTTGTTTAATGGCAAAGAAAAGAAAGTAAGTAGCTTCATAGAAATTTTGTAATTTACAGCATGTACAGACAATAATGAAAGCTTTTGGAGTTCATTGCCAGCAACATTCTGGTTCTGTGAACTACCCCTCATTGCTAATTGTCTGCAGAGATGATCCCGTTGTCCCCTCCCACCCATCTCACTTGTACCAGGAAGAAAAAGGATTGCACGATTCTGGGATGATTCATGTAAACTGTGGAATTAGCCAGTAAACTTAGAATAAAGTTAATATTCAGGAATCAAAGACTTCTTATGTAAAATCTTGCCTTATTGTTTTCTTTCTGAGATGGTCTCCTTATGTGGTTAAGGCTGCCCTGAACTCACCGTGTAGCCCAGGTTAGCCTGGAACTCTTGGCAGTCTTTCTGCCTCAGCCTCCCGAGTGCTGGGATGACAGGTGTGCATTGTCATGCCTGGCTTTCAGTAAAGCAGCAGCCTTTTCTAATGCTTACTGGACTGTCAAGGTCACAGGGGAGAAACTGTTGGCACAAAAGGAATATAAAGAGCAGGAACCAGGAAGTCTTTCCTCTCAGAGGGGAAACCCTGGACTCATGAGAAGCACCAGGAACCTTGAGGATGCAGGTGCCAGGGGCCAGGTCATCACACTGAGGAAGAGAGTTTGTGGAGATGCTGTGAGGTTGAACCAGAGTTTCATGTGACCTCAATTTCAGAAAAATGATTTAAGGTAATTCTTTATTGAGGATCTAGGTTGGTTATTTATGTATTACAAAAATATGTATCTACCAAACAAAACTCAGAAGATACGAATTGGTAGGGAGAAGAAGAAATAAAAAATTGAGCAAGGCGTGATGGCACACGTCAGTCATCCCAGTTACCTGGGAGGCTGTGGTAGGAGGAGCAAGTTCAAGGCCAGCGTGGGCAACCTTAGGGGGACCATGACTCAAAACACAGCAAGTACAAAGCCATCTACAGGCTTGCTGAGCAGGTGTCACTACTCTAGAGCCACACCACCCAGAGCAGTATCAGCCATATGTGGCTTTTAAGTGCAAAATGTGGCCAGTATCCATCTACACAGTGGGTGCCCTGGACAGTGCTGCTCTCCAGTGCTTCCTCCTGGACTCTGTGTTCTGTCTGGTTATGCCAGGGGCGCTGCATTGCCTGACTCCAGGTGTCTGTCCTGGCTTGATCAGCGCAAAACTGGTGCGGTGTGGGGGCAGGCAGAGGCCTTTGCAGTTCCTCTGCACTTGGGCAGTGAGGCCACACACTAACTCAGACTGTGATCAGTGAGCGGTCTCCTGCTTTCCAGATTTTGGGTGTGCAGAAGGGTATCCCCTGGAAGTGGGAAAAGGGTTGTCTGCTGATGTGTCCCTGGGCTCAGGATGTGGTGTGTAATGGGCCTCAAGGTGGCCCCACCCTGCCTCTGTCCCTCTCCAGCAGCAGCACCTCTGGGTCTGACACCTTCACCTCTCATCTAGGTGCATCCACTGTGGTGTTGTCCACCTGACTTTGGCCTTGCTGAAAAGCCACATCCAGGAGCGACACTGCCAGGTTTTCCACAAATGTGCATTCTGCCCTATGGCCTTCAAGACTGCCAGCAGCACTGCGGACCACAGCACCACCCAGCACCCCACCCAACCCCACAGACCCTCCCAGTGAGTGCAGCAAGGAGTGGCTCTGGGGGCTGTTGGGATGGACCAGGATGCTGAGGCTGGTGGCCAGGCCTTGAAGTCTGCTAATGATGCCCCGAGGCAGGCACTCAGCAGGGCTTTCTAGGCCCTGCCCTGGCATGGAGAGAGCAGAGAAGGGGTGGCGGGTCTGTGATTCTGCCAGCAGAACCATGGTCACCTCACACCCTGGGACTTGTTTCATTAGGCTCATTTATAAGTGCTCCTGTGAGATGGTCTTCAACAAGAAGAGGCATATTCAGCAACATTTTTACCAAGATGTCAGCAAGACGCAGGCAGGCGTCTTCAAGTGCCCTGAGTGCCCACTCTTGTTCCTGCAGAAACCAGAGCTGATGCAGCATGTCAAGGTGGGGCACTTGGGGCAGGGGTCCTGTGGTCTGATGCCTCTTGCCCCTCCCCCAGTCAGTAACCACTCTCCCCATCCCCAGATCACCCATGGTGTTCCCCGGAACGTGGATGAGCTCTCCAGCCTGCAGGCTGCAGCGGACTCATCCTCTAACCGACCTGGGTCTCGAGTGCCCATGGAACCCCCTGCCGCTAGTGTGGCTGCCCGAGGCAGCTCCCTGTCCTCAGGCCGTTGGGGCAGATCAGAAGCCCATCGGAGGGCTGAAGCCAGACCCCGACTGAGGAGCACAGGCTGGACCTGCCAGGAGTGCCAAGAGTGGGTTCCCGACCGAGAGAGCTACGTATCCCACATGAAAAAGAGCCATGGGCGGGTAAGTGTGGCTGTAAGCTGGGCTGCCATATAGGGTTGTTGACATGGCCACTCCTAGGGCTCTGGTGTCTTGGGCAGGGGGAGTGTTGCAGCTTTTGAGGGCATCATCTGAGAAGATTCCCCCAGAATGACCTTCTGGTTCTGACCTTTGTGATGTGTCACCCACTAGACACTGAAGCGGTATCCGTGTCGGCAGTGTGAGCAGTCCTTCCACACCCCCAACAGCCTGCGCAAACACATCCGCAACAACCATGACACCGTGAAGAAGGTCTACACGTGTGGGTGAGTATGCAGGGGCTGCTGAGGGTCTGGTGGTGCTGGGCTGCTCCCCACCTCCCTCCAGCTCCAGCCAGTCCCAGCAATGAGCCCTGCGGTATGAGGGTCATGAGGGTGACTGCACCTCCCAGGTGACCATGCCTGTTCTGTAGGATGTACTTGTCCCTTTCAAACTGGGGCCTCTGGGCAATGAGAACAGGGAATGAGGCCATGGTAAGGGCCAGAGGTCAAGCCTTGGGCAGCCATACTAGCAGGGCACGGGGTTCTGACCTGCACCAGATGGGATGAGACAGGGCTGTCTGTCCACCCCAACTCCCTCCTGGTGTCTGTGCAGCAGCATGTTAGGGAGCCTGCAGCGGGCTCTCACTTGCTGCCTTGGCTGTGTCCTGCAGGTACTGCACCGAGGACCCTCCCAGCTTCCCTCGGCCCTCCCTTCTAGAGAATCACATCAGCCTTATGCACGGGATCAGGAGCCCTGATCTGAGCCAGACGTCCAAAGTCAGACTGCTGGGCGGACATTCCCCTCAGGTGAGCTGCCTGCTGGGCTGCAGCTGGAGAGGCATGAGGGTGGGGTTGTGGAGCAGCCAGAGTGACCATTTCTCAGCATGGTCATTCCAGCTGTCTCTGTGACCCAGGAGCCAGCTCATTAGCCTTCTACCGGTGTCCCCGCCACTGTGATTCCTTGCTTAGGCAGGAGCCATTCTTCACAGACCCTAGGGTGCTTTTATGTACATTATCCTGCCTCAGCCTCACTGCAGGGCAGGCTTGTCAGCTTGTCAGATGGTGCCGGACTGGGTCTCTTCCCAGCCCCACTTGTCATGGGGAGAGCTAGGCCTGGAGAGCTGGCCTGTGACCTCATCCCTGCCACATGAGCTGTCTGTTTCCCAGGAAACCCCTAACAGCCTGCTCTCCCTGCCATAGCAGGCTCGTGCCAGCCGGTAGGGGGCTGCCTTTGGGCAGGTGTCCCCAAGACTGAGCTACCCAGAGCTGCTGACTGCCTCTCACATACAATATAGCCAGCATCAGTCTCAGAAAAATGCAGCTCCACCCTGCAACCCAACAAACATACCCTGCGCAGTATCCTGCTGCCGGGGCATGTCTTGGAGTGCACTGGCCTTGGGCATGAGGAAGTGTGTTCAAAGGATGGTTCAAAAGGTGGTAATGGCTGGCACTTGGTCTAACGCTGGCAGCGGGGACATCACCTGTCCAGTGGGCCTGTGCTGCTGCCAGGAAAGCCCTCCCTTTATGCCTGTGCTGTCAGCTAAGACTGCAGGTGAGGAGCAGTGCGCATGGCGTGCAGCCACATGGGAGAGGATAGCAGTTTTGTGTGCACGCACACAGGCTTTCTTGGAGAAGCACTGTGACCCCAACAACATAGTGCTCTTTGGTCCTTTGATTTTTTTTTTTTTTTTTTGCACTGGAAATTGAACTCAGGATCTCATACTTGCCAGGCAGGTGTGGTGCCACTGAGCTATATCCCCCAGAGTGCTCTTTGGAGAGAGGCTGGGAAGTAAAAAGAGGGGCTTTGGGCTGGAGATTTAGCTTAGCAGCTCAAGTTCCTACCCGGTGACTGTGAGGTCATAAGTTCAACCCTGGTACCAAAAGAAAAAAAAGGACTTCTGTGTGCTGTACCCTTCCCCATGTATTTGGAATTCATACCACAAGTATATGTGACGTTGAAAAACAGAGCTGGAGCCCAGGCTTGTCGGCCTACACCTGTCATTCTAGTGGAGGATGGCAGGTGCCAGGCTACAGAATGAAGCCCTGTCTCTAAACAATAGCCAAACCAAACCAAAACCACAGAACTGGTACCAATTGAACCAAAGCCATATTTAGGGATAGGTGAGCTAGCCTGAGTGGTGCATTGGGCTTCTGGTGGTGGTGATCGTGTCTTGGGGCTCTGCTCATACCATCTTCCCTTTCAGGTGAACCATCGAAAAAGACCCCTCAGCGGAGCAGGGGATTCTCCGGCCACCAGCAAAGGCACACCTGTCCCTCGCCCAAAAAGGCACAAATCGCTTTTTCAGTGTGCAAAATGTAGCTTTGCCACGGACTCGGGGCTGGAGTTCCAGAGCCACATACCTCAGCACCAGGCAGACAGCTCCACAGCCCAGTGTCTCCTCTGCGGCTTGTGCTACACCTCCGCCAGCTCTCTCAGCCGCCACCTCTTCATCGTCCACAAAGTGCGAGAGCAAGAGGAGGAGGAGGAGGAGATAGTGGAAGTGAAGGTGGAAGCCTCTGAGCCAGAGGAGGGCTTTGGGGAGGAATTGGCCATGGAAGCGAGAGAGAACGGACTGGAAGGATGTGCCGGCCGGCCTTTGTCAGCTGACCCTGAGGCCAGGGGACTGCTGGGCCTCAGCCTGGCAGAGGATCGGGCCCAGGAATTGCAGAGTCAGCCTCAGGCCTCTCAGGACCAGGAAAGCCTTGCACTGTCCCCTCAGGTGTGACTAGAGGCGTGGCAGTGTATGTGGCTGGGCCCCCAGTGTCCCCCACCGCTTCACAGACTAAGGGAAGGCAAAGTCTGTGCCCGTGGGAGTGTGGCCACTGTGCCCTGAGCTGTGGTGCGCTGCCCAGGGTGGGGTTGCCCAGGACCCTCCTGTTTCTGAAGTTTGCTTCTGTTATTTATGGCTTTGTGCTGCTTTTTGGTACCCAACTCTGGTCTATGTCTTTCTAACTCCAGGCTTCTTATGTAGCCCTACCCCAATGCTGTCAGTATAGTTTGCACCCCAGACCTTGGGCCTGTGCTTGTCTGGGAGTCCCTGCTGCTGCCTTCAGCCAGGGAGCCTCTCAGAGTCTGAGAAGAAAGAGAGGGGGCTGTTTTGGGAGAGAGCTCTACCCAGCCAGGCTTGGCAAGGGCCCTTGGTCACATTGCCCTTCCTGTCTTTTTCTGATTCTTTTCTCCAAAAACAGTCCTGAGAACTGTCACATTGGCTTCTTGTGTCTCTGTGGGTGGGAAACTTGAGCGCACCTTTGCTTGTAACTGGAGACAACAGAAGGTGTGGCTGAGGCCGGCAGGTGTGGAGAGCCAGGGACCTGCAGAAGGCACTGTGGGTGCTGGGACTTTGCTCCCCAGCTGTCCTGCCCTCCCTGACAGCAGGTTTGGGGCACACAGATGGGGGAATGTGTGTGTTCTTGCTCCTATGCTGTGAGAGGCTGCTGCCCCGGCAGGCCAGCCTCTCTTCCTCTTGGCTGCACTCATGTTGCTCAGACTACATTTCAATAAAAACTTCTTACCATGCAGGCAGGCTCTTGTATTCCTCTCCAAGTCAGCTGCCCTTCCCTGCTCCCACTGAGAGCTCTTCCTGTTTCTTGGCTCTCTGGAGACTTTGAGGAGCAGTCTCAGTACCAGTGCAGTCCCCTCACAGGTCTCTCCTGGGCAGGAGGCAAATCTTCTTGGGTGTCTCCCTCTTTCCTGAAGAAGAGTTGACGCTTATGGAAACCCTTTTTGGGTAATGGGGTGGAGAGGAGGAATTCTGTCCTTTTCTTGCAGCGTTAGAGACCTTGCTGTTGGGTCTGCCAAAGGGAACTCAGTGTAGCAGAGCCAGGAGTAGATTTGGGGCAGAGTTGGGGCTGTCCCGGGCCTGGGATTGGCCCTGCAGGTCCAATGCATCCCTGGGAACAGAGCTCACTGCGTTCTTACAGGTGATCTATTGTAGGAGGCATGAATAGCAGTTATAAATTAAGTCAGACAAATATGCCTGACCTTTTCACAACTGAAAAACCAGTTTTTTCTCCCTGTATCAAATGCCAGGTTGTCAGTGAAATGCTAATGGCAGTAAGAAAGGTTAGTGCTGCTTCATTTCTAGGGACTCTGGCATCCATAGCATTTTTGATTGCTTTTCCTGGCAAGTCCACCACTCTTTGCCTCCCATCCCACCCCCTGCCTGTAGAGCCAGAGCCAGCCCCAGATCCCAGGTCCAGTCATGAGAGCAGGCCTGGTGGAGGTGCAGGGAGGGGTGTGCAGTGGTGCCCAGGGACAGGCAGAGGAGTCGGGGAAGTTGCAGGCTCAGCCAGCTGTCCTGAGCCTACACACATGTCCCCTTCCTGGGCTGGAGGATGACTAAGCTGCTCACTGGGATCCTGGTTCGTGGCCTGGCACCTGCTCGTAGCTAGCTCTTAGCAAACTCCAGCCTCACAGGTCCCTGCCCCCATCCAGGTCCTCCCAAGCTCTTACAAGATACTCGTGCCAACTCGTTCTGATTCATAAAACATACAAAGGTGGAGAGGCTGTTTTTTTGTTTATTTGGAGACAGGATTTCACTATGCAGTTCAGGCTGGCCTTGAATTCACAGTGATCCTTCTGTCTCAGCCTCCCAAGTTCTAGGATTACAGGCATGTACCACCGTACCTGGCTAGAGAGGCCATTCTTGACCTTCAGACTTGAGGTGGTGCCCACCTGCTTCTGCTCACCCAGGGATGCTGCTTGTCAGCTAAGCATTGGCAGAGAGCATCACCTCTCTGTGATCTGAGAGTTGTAAAGCTTTATTTTAAGCCCTGCTCACATGCCCAGCATTTCGGTAAACGGTTCCTGGTGACACTAATCCTCACAAAGATCCCAGTTATCTTCCATTTTATGGAGAAGAAAATGGATGCTGGGATGGTAAAGAACAGATATGTTGGGCTACTTGGGACGACAGTCACACATGGAACCTGTGAAACCCTCTGCTGTCTTAGTGACCACAGTTTCTTTGGCTGCCAGCCTGCTCATCAATTGCCCAGAAGTTCACTTTTCTACTTCCCTAGCATTTGGGGTGCCCCACAAAGTGCCCAGTCTCTTTAGAGACCACGTGTACCCCTTTCCCCCTAGAGAGACCTGCATGTCACCCCAGCTGGAGCAGCACCATCTTGGGGCTGGTCACTCTGGGGTTTCCTTTGCCATTTGAAGAGTATTATTTTTGAGGATTATCCAGAAAATTTGCCCAGTCTAGCATCTTCGGACCTTGTCTCTTTCATGGTGTTCTGAATGGGCGAGCTGTCTTTTGTCATCAGCAGAGGCCTTAACTGCCAGCCAGAGCTCCTCTGATCAAATTAAACAGATACGAACCGCACTATCATTTAGTGCGCCCTGAGGCTTGACAGATGCCTGCTATCAGTTCTCCAATTGCTTTATTTCTGTGAAATGATAGGCTGAATAACTATGAGCTAACTGTTGTAGAAAGAATTTCTCCCTTAACTTATGTAAACTGTCCGATTTAAACGAAAGAAACAAAAAAACCTAAACAGTTGTGAGTCCCACACTTTGCCTTCCCCAGACTAAGGAACCTCCATCCTGATCACCACTCTCTGTTCAGTGTCCATCGGTTTCCTTTATTTTGTTGTTTTGAAAAGTTAATGCATACATGTGACAAAACATCCAACAAACAAGTATCCAATAAAAAGTAACCTTCCAATGGGGGTCAAGCTCCGAAACCCTTGTCCAGTTAATCGCTGCTAACTGTATCCTGTGTATTCTTTCAGAGCAATTCTATGCATTTATAAGTTTTTAAATGTGTATATTTATATATCTATTTTTAATACAAACAGTAGCATTCGATACACAGTGTTCTGAGGCTTGCTTTCTTTCCACTGTGGTGGTATTGGGGAGATTGTCCCAAATATGCACACCGGGTTGATGTGACTGGTGAAGAACTGGCGGGCGGCACAGCTCTCGGTGTGCAGCACTAACTCAGTAGCATGTGGCGGAATCAGTCTGATGTGGAGGCAGCCACAGTTCTGCAGGCCACCTGAGCGGGCCAGGGCCTTCGCAGGTCTGGGCTGCCGTCCCCCTTCTCTCCTCACAGGTATCCCCGCAGCCGCAGGGTGTGGGTGGCCAGAGGGGAGTGGCGGCCTTGGACCCGGCTCCCACAGATGAGGTTTTCAGGTCCCCACTTCAAATGTCTTTCTTAAAAGTGGGATGTGCACTGTTAAAGAAGACGTGAGACACATGCTCAGACCTTGTCCTTGACTGGCTGCAGTTTCCAGGTTTTCCCCCACTTCCCAGTGTTCATTCACATGCGGGGCGGAGTTTGTGGGGACTGCAGTAAGGGTGGGTAGTGGTGAACATAGCTGTGTGCCTGTGTATATCTGTCTCTATACAAACAACAGCAAACATCCCCATAATCTCTTAGCCTCAGAACAACCGCACAAGATAGATAGCTTGTTATTTTTTATGAGACAGTAAAATTGAGATTCAGGGTGGTCAGTGAGTTCCCTCAGGTCGCACAGCGAGCAGGGGTAGAGTTGGCTTCCTAGTGGGCTGTGGCTGACGTTACACTGATTTTGTACTCCCCCGTTTCACTTACTATCATATCCTGAGTGTTTGCTGTGTTTCTACCTAGCCTTTAGAGTCATCTTCACTTTCATCATGGCAAGTTAACATAGTTTACTTATGTAGCCATTTCCTGTTTAAACTTTCTACCTCAGTGAAATGAAGAGTGAGGGGCATGTACCTTTTACTTTTGCAGAATTATTTCCCCAGGTTCACTATGTTCCTCTTTTGTCCAGAGTAGTCTCAGTGAAGGCAGCTGTGACTGGTATTTGGAACCCTACGTCTAGGTTCTGTGTGACAGAGGCACCTAGCCTGAGTCTTCCATCAAACGAGCAAGTTGGTTTATGTCTTCACATAGCTTCGGTTTTTGTTTTTTGAGACAGTTTCTCACTTTGTAGTTCAGGTTGACCTTAAACCACAGTGATCCTCCTGCCTCAGCCTCCCAAGTGCTGGGGTTACAATCTGTACCACCATACCCAGCCTGTTTCTGTGTATCTTGAGCTTGGTCAGATGTTATTTTCTCATTCCTGTATGTCTTTAAAATAGAAAAAGCTTCCCCAAAGGTAAAAGTTGTCCTGCTTTCTCTTTTACCTATTTACTTTTGCCCTAGTTGTATACAAAAACAGAAGATTCTCCTCTCTTGAGCAGTGTCACTTTTATTTGCATTTATTCCTCTTTCAGTTTGCTTCAGGTTTCTGTTTTTCAGCTCTTTTGTGACCATTTGTTTTCACTGTTGTCCAGCCTTTCCAAGTCTGAACTATTGAAAATTAATTCCTGAGCATCTTGCAGTCCTGTCACTCAGGCATGTTATTGGTCTACCTATGCAGGTGTATTTTTGTGCTACTTTATTGTGTCATGCACTGGCCTTTAAAAATACTTTTAAATTTGCAAATATAAGTTGTTTTTAGTACATGATTAGTAAAAATCAAAACACATTTCATTGATCATATGGAAAGTGGCACTCAGAGGATGTGAGAGAAGGGCCTCCCTCTGAGAGTGACACGGGGCTGTGGCACCAGCTTCCTTCAAGGGTGGACTTGTGTCACCTGGGCAGCAGTTGTTCAGATCTGTACCCTAGAGTTGAAGCATGCAGCCTTTGTCTCTATATTCTATGAAAATGGAATCAGCGCATCATATTTTTGATGTGTAAAGAGAATGACTAAACTGCTGTGTGTGGCAGCTGATACCCCATAATCTCAGCATTTGGGAGGCTGAAGCAGGAAGATTGCCAGGTTCAAACCTAGCCTGGGCAACTTACTGACTTAGATCCTGTCTGCAAAAAAAATAAAAAAAAATAAAAAAAAATAAAAAGGGTGATTGGGGTGTGTAGCTCAGGGCTAAGCCCCTGAGCTCAATCTGTACTGTAAAACCAAACCAAACCGAACTGAACCGAACTGAACGAAACCAAACCAAACCTGCTGTTTCCAGACCCCCTTTCAGTCACGGCCAGGGATGCATGTGCGCAGCTCCTCCTTCCTCCTGGACTTTCTACTCCTTAGACCAGTTCCCTTGGCATTTCCCCTCCCTGCCTTGTGCATAGATAGGACTGGATATTTGGGGGTATTCTGAGAACTGCTGTCTTTGGAGGAAGCTTTACATTTATTTCCTAGATTGGCTCCATGCTGGGCTTGGGAAATGACTTTAAAATGGGAGACTAGAGCCAGGGCTTGGGGAGAGGGGCTGTGTGTGTGTGGTGGTGCTGGTGCTGGTGCTGGCAGCAGGGAGAGGGTAGAGGCTGTGGAGGGGCCAGGGTGCAGCGGGGGTACAGTGCTTGCCCACATGCAAGAGGCCCTGTTCACTCCCCTTAATGCAAACATGTGCACACGGATGCGGAGGGGGAGGGGACTTAGGTGAGGCAGAGGCTGAAGCTGGAAACTGCTTCGGGATGGTGAGGAGGGTGGCTTGACTTGTCAGTGGCAACCCTTGAGGAGAGCAGAAATCAGCTTCTTACCTGGATGAGAAGATTCTGCTGTTGAGAAAAAGAAGAGTGGAGATACAAAGAGTTCATAGGAAAAGTCCTGGTGGGGGAAAAGAATGCTTCCTCCTGAGCAAAGACATGGCTGGAGTGAGTCCAGCCCAGCCCATCTGACTGATAGCTGCCACCAAGGGCAGCGCTCCTTCCTCTCCTGCAAAGAGCCTAGACTTTTGGCAGCCCATGTGGCATCAGAGTGGGGGCTGGGAGGACACCTGGGCAGGTGGGACAGCTCTATCCTCGAGTCCCTAATTCCCTTTTCAATCAAACTAGAGTCAGAAGTAGCTTCTTGTTGCCAGTAATGCTTTAATTGGTGTCCACTTATCCAAGCACAGCTGTGGCCCCATCTCTAGTCCCTGGACAGGGTGACTTGTCCACCTGGGGCGAGGCTCTGCCTGCTTAGAAAGAAGCTCAGCTGGGCAGCTCTTGGAGGGAGGACAGATGGCATCAAGAATATTGCAGGTTGGCGGCACAAAGCAGTAGCTTCCCATGCGTAGGTAGCACCCGCCAAGACTAGGGCTTTGTTTGGCTCAGAGCTAAAACCTTACTATTAGAAGAGTGGCAGTGAGGCATGGTGATGCACACCTGTAATCCCAGCATACAGGAGCCCAGGGCCGAGGAGCGTCAGGAGTTCAAGTCCAGCCTGGGCTACACGGTGAATTCAGGCCTGGCCTGCACCATGTAGGGAATTTCTAAAAAACAACACACAACAGTTCCCCTCCCCTATGCATGCATGTGCTCACCTGTGAGGGGAAAAAGTAGAATCAAGAGAAAGAAAATAAACAGGGCTCCGTGGCACATACCTGTAATTTCAGTACTCTGCGAGACTGAGGCAGGAAAAGTGTGTCTCTGCCTCAAAAAGTGCTGGGGACACAGCTCGGTGAAGGCCTGAACTGGGGAGGGAACTGGAGGGATGCCTGACACTTGGTGTGTGTGACTCTCACTGAGCTGTCTCGGGTCTGCAGAGCTGTGGGGCCTGCAGTGGGAGCTGATGTTGCAGCAAAAGGAAATCCTCATTGAACTCTGACCCCAGGCCTTAGCCCCAGCTTGTAGAAAAAACTACCTCAGCATAAATGCCTAAAAGCACAAGATCTGGAGGGTGATGGCCAGAGTAAAGGTGACCAGAGCTGTGCTTCCCTTTGTCCTGAAAAGTGCCTGTGGGTGGGTGGCACAGTTGCCTCTGCTCAGTGGCCACAGGCAGACTTGGACTGTGGAAGAGTTCTGTTTGGAGGGGCTTCCGGTGTCCTGCTCCCTTATGCTGTGAAGAAACTTGTTCTCTTGATGTCACATTTGTGGGTATCTTGGACCAAAAAAAGAACTGGGCTTCTGCGTGGCCTCAGGACAGAAAATCCATGTGTGCATGAGCAGGGTCTGGGGAGGAGCACGTTCCAGGTCCTGGAGACACTGTCCCTGGGCCCCTGTGACAGGCGCATCTAGGCCATTGACAACAGGGTGGGTGACCAGCAGGGGTGCTGCTTCTGGGCCGCTTGGATTGGCCCTCGCCCCATTTCCTCCCCTAAAGGCCCCTGGGGCTTTGTGTTCTTGCCCTCCCTTCCCTGTCCAGCCAGTGGACCAGGCCTGGCTCCCAGCTCCCCTTCCGGGGTTGCTTCACTGGTTTGCGCTTGATGATTCGTTGCTACTGGATCATGGACCGGTTCCCTTGGGCTCTTTCGAGCATTTGGGCAATGAAAAGAAGGGGAGGTACCTCAGGAAAAGCGAACCTTCTGTAACCTCACAGGTTCTGGGGAGGGGCCAGCCAAAGGCACAGGAGGCAGTGAGCGAGCCCAGGAGCCCTGGCAGGCTCTCACTGTCCTCCAGAGCTGATGGCCCACTCTTCCCTGGGTTGTGAAGGGACTGTTGAATCCTGGACTGAAGAAGAAGAGATGGTGCCATGTCACCCATGGGGCATGGTCACAGTCACCCAGACGTGGTGGGGGCTGAGGTGACAGGGCCAGTGGCATGGGTCCTCCACTGTGCTTGGACTGGTTACAGCATCCCCGCCATGGTAAGTGCACTAAGAGCAGCCCATGAGTTTTCTACAGGCATCCAGTTTCCTCAGGAAGTGCGAAATCACTGAGGGTTTTAGGCAGGAGGATCCTGAGTCAACGGGATGCTCCCTTAGGACTCATCTGCTCTCGGATTCAATAGATTTGGTAGACTGTCAATCTGGTCTTCAAGTTAGATGGCACCGCTCTACAGATCCTGGCTTTTCTTACAAGACTGTGAGCTCAGAGAGGAAAAACATTATCTACCTTTTCATCTTTGAGGACGTTGACACACCTTGTGTAGTTTTGCCTCATCATCAGGAACTTGGCTGGAGACAGAGAAAGTTGGTTTGAAGAGCTGGGCATTGTGCACAACTCTGTAATCCCAGCCCTCTTGGAGGCTGAGGCAGGAGGATCACAAGTTGGAACCCAACCTAGGCAATTTAGTGAGATCTTGTCTTAAAATTTTAAAAAATAGGGTGACAAAAGCATGTAGCTCAGTGTAAAGGGCTAAGGTTTAATCCCTAGTAACTGAAAAACAAACAAACAAACAAAAAAATAGCAAGAAGCTGGGAAGGATGGCTTAGAGTTATCACTGGATGATAAGGGCAAAATTTAAAAAGACCTAGACAAGGAGAGGGGATGTGAGAAAGAAGATGAAGTTAAACTGAAAACCAGAGTAAGTTTTGTTTGTGAGACAGGGTCTCATTATGTAGTTCAGTTTGGTCTTGAACTTGATTTGTAGCCCATGCTGGCCTCCAACTCTTGGTGATGCTCTTGCCTGGGCCTCTCTCCTGCTGAGTGCTGGGATCACAGTTAAGCAGGAGGAACTTTCTGACACACAGACATCTAGGAAAGCTGGAACTGCCACATGCAGGGAGGTGGGGACAAAGGGACACAGGCAATAAGGCCACACCGAGGTGAGGCGAGGTCCGCCCTCCTCGTGGTGCTCGGTCACAGGGGCTGCTTCCCTTCCCTGTTCCAGTCCTGAATGTGCTGGTAAGAGCTTCCTTTGGCACCCCTTAGTCAGGGTGGTCAGGGTGGTCAGTGTGGTGGAGGACCAGATGCCAGCGGGCTGCGGCCATGTTGGGATGGAGCAGGAACAAGGCAGGTCTGTTAGGATGCGCATTTCCTAAAGGAGGGGCTGTGGTTCCCTTGGAGGACAGCAGGGTTTGCACCCCTTTGCTTTCCTCTCCACTTGCCCCAAACCCTCAAATGCTTCCCTTCCCTTTCAGCACACCTATCCACCATGCTTGATCATGTGTCTCTTACTGAAGTAAGGTTTTTGGTTTTCTGTTTTTGTTTTAAAAGCATTCACTGTGTTTTTGATCATCCCTTGTGCGTCCCCAGGGCTGTTCCCAATGCCAGCGTGGCTTGCACATAGTTGTAGTCTTGGTGGTGGCTGAGGGGTGGCGGGGAGGGGGAAGGGGGAGGGAGGGACAGCAGCAGGTGACGCTGGGCTATAAATAGGGGCGGCCATCTAGGCTGGGACAGCAGCCGGGCCGAGCGGGCAGGCAACAACATGGGGTCGCGCAGGGTCCCTGGGTTGGGCGTAGGTGAACGAGCAGGGGCTGACAGTGAGGACGATGGGCCTGTGTGGACCCCCGGCCCAGCCAGCCGCAGCTATCTGCTCAGTGTGCGTCCTGAGACCAGGTAAGTGGCACTGCTCAGGGACTGGGTGGCAACAGACAGGGCAGGATGGGGCCCTTTCCTCACTCTGCCCACAGGCCGGAGGCCTGGAGCAGGGACTGGACCCCAACAGTCCCTGTGCTGCCCCTTCAAGGCCCTCGGGCTTCAGGCCTGAGGTCCCACCAGGCCCCAGGAGAGGAGCTGGGCCCTATTTGGGGAGATGTCACAGGGGCCCTGGGCTTTCTTTATCTCCTACCCAGTGCCCCTCTGTCCCCAGCCACTGGATACAGATTCCACAGGGAGCGATAAGCATGGCTGGGGCGGCTAGAATTCCTGGGGCTGGAGGGAGAGCACAGGAAGGGGACTGGAGGGGGGACTGGCTGCCCGAGTGGGGGCCACCTTGCTCAGGGTGGGGCGGTCACCAGCAAGGAGTAAACCTGTGTCTTAAATAAGAATCCTCCTGGGCCAGGACAGGCATCTGACAAGAGGAACGGGGCAAGGGGCAGCCAGGGATGGAGGGCTTGAAGCTGGCCGAGCCGTGTCCCCTGGGGTTGGAGGCTGGGGCTGAGGTGTGGAGGGAGAGGAGGACCTGAGGGGCCCTGCTATTCTAAGAGTGGCAGAGGGGCGAGGCTGCCCACAGATGATAGACAGCCTCAGGTGCTCACGGGCGCCCGGACACGAGCCACACACCTTGCTACCGAGACATACACTCCTGCCTGCTCTGTGAAGCTCAGTGCCCTCCCTTCCACAGCCCATTTTTCCAAAAGGAAATGTGACATTTGTCCGCTGGGACTGGCAGTGTGTGTCCAGCCCAGCCCCTGGCTTGCTGGGTATTATCCTGAAAAGGAGCGCTCCCGCCAGGCTGCTGAGAGCTGCTTTGCTCTGTGTTTCTCAAGAGCACGAAAACAGGCAGCAAGGACCTTCAGGAAAAGTCCTGGGCACTTCCTTGTGGATTGGCTGAGTCCTGTTGACCTTGGAGTTGGAAGGGTTCAAATGTAACCGGAACCTGTTTCTGCATAAAACTCGTCAAACGATGTCACATGTCTGGGGCAGGGCTGAGGGCTGGTGTTAGTGACCGAGTCGGACTGCACCAGGCCCCCAGTGCCAGGAAAGAATGCCCCTTCACCAAGTGCGGGCTCTGTGGAGACACCAGCTTCCAATGTGGACGTGATTCCCATCGTCTGGGAAGCTTGCTCCCTTGTGGGCAACTCCCGCCTGTCACAGGGCTTATCTGGGCTTGGCCACCTGTGTCTGGCCTTTGTCAGTATCAGGGGGACAGGAGAGGAAAAGGAAGCAGGGACCTCGCCTGCCGACAGCAGGACAGCAGCGATGGAGGGGAGGGAGGAGGGGTGGGCTGGGACGGGGCAGAACAGGGGAGGGCAGGGTGGGTGGGCTGTCAAGGGCAAGCTGGCCTGGAACTCTGGCTGGCTGGGTGGCATGAGGGATGTCTTCACGGCACCCCGGGTGAGTCAAAGCAGTGTGCCCACCAGAAAGCTGAAGGTGGAGATGCGGCTGACTTGAGTCCCCTTGGAGCTGCCCTGAGTGCTTGAAAATGTGTCTCTTTGCTCTGGGTATTTTGGTGGGGTCACCACAGGCTCCACCCCTGCAATGTTTCACTTCCAGCCAGCTGGCCACAGACCCTTCTGAGGGACAAAGAGCCAGACTCGTTTGGTCCCTGGAGGAGCCTTTGGCCACAGAGAGGAGATCAAGAAGGGGCTGCTTTGGGGAAAAGGCAAGGGTCAGTTCCCAGGGCTCTGCAAGGTCTGACTTGTGCTAGAGGAGGTGACTGCACAGTCTGTGGCCCCCAGAGATGGGAAGGGGACCAAGTGAGAAAGAGCTGAGCCCTGGGTCCTGACTAGGAGACAAATTCTGTCCCCACTCATTTTTGGCTCCAGTGTTTTCTGAGTCTACCTTTTTTTGTTCCTGTTTGTACTGGGAATTGAACCCAGGGCCTTCATACTGAGCTACATCCCTAGCTTCGTTCTATGTTATATTTTGAGAATCTCACTAAATCATTAAATTGCCCAAGCTGGGTTTGAACTGGAAATCCTCCTGCCTCAGCCTAGCAGAGTGCTGGAATCATAGACGTATGCCACCGTGCCCAGCTTGTCATGGAGTTCTTGAGTCATTGTTTGAATGGTCTCTTGTGCTGATAGGCTGTCCCTGGGAGCTGATGGACGGCCGTGCAGGTGTTCGGGGCTCTAGAAGCCTTGGTTCTGGGTCCAGGCTCTGTTTCACTACATGCACCTCACCTCCCTGCTTGTGACGTCCTTTGGAGAAGTCTCCATCCTCATGTCAGGGCAAGGGTATCCCAGTGCTCGCTAAGGTATGAGACATGCCTCCCCCCTGTTGGAGACGGGCTTCGGGGAGGCTGGAGGAAGGTAAAGAGCTGCAGCTGGCGGGAAGCCTGTATGACGACTTAGCTTCTGAGGAACACCCTTGTTTCACAGTGGCCCCAATCCAGGGGATGTTGGGGCAGCAGAATGGTGATGCTGCTATACTGTTGTGAAACAATGTCTGCTCTTCTACTTGGTCAGGCAAGTTGCCTGGGGTTTTAGGGAAACTGAGGCACAAGGTCAGGATTTTTTTTTCCCCCTCTTCTTTTCTTTTTTTTTTTTTTAATTTTTATTCTTTTTCTTTTTTTATCGGTACCGGGGATCGAACTCACGACTGCCTGCTTGCAAGGCAGGTGCTTATGCCGCTGAGCTAAATCCCCAGCCCCCCTCTTCTTTTCTTTTAAAAGTTTTAGTTGAGCAGTAAAGAAAGTGGTTTGAGGAGATGATGGATTAGGGCAGCCTTTAACAACAAAGAGTAAGAAAGCTAGACAAGAATGCAGGCTTGAGGAGCTGAGGGGGTGCACTCCGAGCAGGGGTCAGACTGGCTCATGAACGAGGAGAGGGGATCATTTTATAGGTAGCTGCTGGGCTGGGATCTGAGTGACCATTATCCCAGGCATAGGCCAGGACTTCCTCAGGGTCCAGGATAACCTGGATATTTGCTCCCTATGAGGAGACCTTTCATTCCTTCTGGGCAATGAAGGTGACTGGAAAAATTCTTTATGTCCCAGCCTGTGCTAGTTGGAATTCACCAGCCACACTGAAATCATATGCAGCTTTATTTTATTTTCTGAAGTGCTGGGGTCTTACACATGCTAAGCAGGTTCTCCCCTCTGGGCAGCTTCCTGCCCTATGAAAAGCTCAGAGGCTTTCTGCCCCAGCATTTGATGCCTGACTCTGAGCTCCAAGAGGCTGTTAAATGGGTGGTGGGTGGGGGTTCCCAGTCAGCAGGGCGCTGGGTGGACTTGCATTCTCTGAAGAATGGTGTCTCCTGGGCTGGGAGTCCCCCTAGCCCTGTGGCCTGACTGGGGAGGCTGAGAGGTCAGCCACGGGAGCTGGACAAAGCTGGGGTCTGCTAGCTGGCCCAGGTGCTCGCTGTGGGCCAGTGAACCTCCATTTTCAGGAAAGCTGACTTCCTCCTCCTTCCCAGAGAGAGAGGAAAAACCCAAATTCAGAAGAGAAATTTCATCACTCTGAGGAGCTTATGGTCAGGAGAGGGTGGAGTCAGCCTGGGCTTTGGAACCAAGGGGGACTCTGCCCACGCAGCCCAAGGGTTTGTAAAGCACAGAGCCAGGCAGCTACGCCCTGTTCCCGTTGTCTCTGGAGCAGCAGCTCCCTCTGGGGTGCAGGGCCCCTCCTGGGTGACAAATGTGTTTTCACTTCCTCCGCTCCCCTCTCCCCCCACTTCCCTTGTTTTCAGAGAACAGCTGCCGGGTGCCCTCACATGCCTCACACTTTGCTAGGAGCCAAAAGGCTGGGTGGGCAGAGAGGAGGGAGGATTTTCCAAGCAGAGAGGACCAAAGTGAAGGCCATGGATGCATTCACGCCAGTTAGGAGCAGGGCTGGCTGCAGCAGAAGGAGATAAAACCCCAGCTGTAGGAGAGCTACAAGCAGCCCAGGGAGGGAAGTCCCGGTGTAACAGCAGCGGGAGGCCTCCACCTCCGGTGCAGAGGGATGGTGTCCGACGAGCAGACTCGAAGGGGAGGCTCTGACTCAGAGGAAGGCAGCAGGGACAGAGAGAAAGGGAGGAAGGCGACACGTGCCCCTGGGTGTGCGGGGAGGAGCCCGAACAGCAGGTCTGGAGCTGCCTCAGAGAGCTGAGCGCCTCCTGGCTCCTGCTGGATTAACTGCTGTGTCTCCCTTCCTCTTCCCCTCTCCTGGCTGGTCTGCCTTGCTCCTTGTTAACTGTACTTTAACCCACTAATGGTGGGTGTTCCCCCACACCTGTCAGGGGACAGCCAGGAATGTGGCTCCTTGTCTCCCAAAAGACGGGGCCCAGGGCCCCTCGCGGGGCAGATCCACGTGCCCAAGGCGCACTTTCCCCAAAGCATTGCCAGGCCTCCTTCCTGCCTAACCCTTTCTCTGGACTCTGCTGCTTATAACCAGCTTTTGGTTTCAGAGATCTTGGTGTCCGATGGTGAGGCCGCTTGCTCTCCGGAGCAGGCCAGCTGAGACAGCTGGTCCCTTTTAATAGAAAGGCTTCTGGGTCCCCAATGATGGCAGATTAATCCTTCTGGACTGTTGTTGATTTCGCCTCCTGGTCTCCTTGCTTTTCGGCCTAATGATTCCATTTGCTGTCTCTTGCTTAGCTTACCAAGCAGCCGGTTGTCTCACCCCAGCTCTGGAAGGTAAACGCACCCTGCATTCCATTCTGTTTCTCTGACTGCTTTTCTTGTGGGCCTGGGCCCTGAGGGACCGCCAAGTGACAGCTCTCACACTAACCGGCTGCATGGGGCGAGGGGAGGCGGGGGTACTCACGTGAGCATGGGTCTGCAGAGACCAGGGTGACACTTGCATGCCCGCCAGGAAGGAGCACAGGGACTCAGGAAGGGACCTGTGGGCAGGGGTCCCTGAGATGCCTGCAGTGACATCTGTGTGCCCTTGGACAGGTGCCACAGGAACAAAACAGGAGCCACCAGGGACGCATCTCTTCCTATGCAAAGTTTTCATGATTTTGTGATCCCTTATCCAGGTTTGACGCTGTAGCAGCCTTCCATCATGGCCCCTCGCCTTTTATATTTTTCCCCGTAGTCTCTTATCGTCTCCTTTGCCTCTTCTTCCTCTGAGCTTCCTTTCTTCTCTTTCCTGTCTCTGCCTGTAGACTGTGGGGTCGTGAGACCAGACAGTACCACACACCTGGCCTCCCCGTTAGCGAATTCCCGAACCCGCCCAGCAAGCCTTGGGCAAGGTTTGCAGGTCGAAAGACTCCACTTGCCTGCCAAGCTGGGCACAAGGCCCTATCCCTGGCCAAACCAGTGGTTACTGTCAAAGTGGCGACATTTTCTGGCTACTTCCCACCACTCGGGCCCCAACCCAGACCAGCGGTCTGAGGCCAGCGGACTTCTGATAGCTCATCACCTCCACAGGCAGGGTCAGCCCCCTCCGTGCCCTCCAAGAGGACAGACATGGAGGAAACTTGGTCCTGAGTGGCCCCCAGGTGGAAGAAGATTCGCCCCACTGGTTCAAACTGGAAACCATTTCCTGTTGTGCATGGTCCTTCATGCTTTCTAGGGAACCTGGCAGAGCACGTCCACATCTAGGTGGTTTGGAAGGAGGGACTGAAGGCTGTGGGATGAGAAGAGTGACACACAGCGGGACAGTCCAGCATGCATAGTGATCTGTGCTGCACCCCAAATGCTTCCCAAGTCGCTCCTCAGAGAGAGGGCCTTCTTTCTTTCAGGTTCCTGGCCTGAACACTGTTTATCAAACAGTTTAGAACCACATGCAGAGGTCTTTCATTTTAGAGATTAGAATTCTTTTCCATTCAAAAGAAGTGATGAGCTAGGCATGGTGGCACATGCCTAACATCCCAGCACTTGGGAGGCAGAGGCAGGAAGATTGCTGGGAGTTCCAGGCCAGCCTGGGCTACACAGTGAGATCCGGTCTCAAAAAACCAACCAACCAACCAACCAACCAACCAACTAACCAAACAAACAAACAAAGACACAAAAGGAGAGAGGAAATAAAGTAATTAGCAGTTGTTATATATCTAACAGGAGCACTCGTCTCTGCAATTTTTAAAAGTAATTTCTTTATTTTCTCACTTATCTAGTAGTTGAAATGATTTTTAAAAAGTTTCTTTGTGTTTTAATGTGCTACTGGGAATTGAACTCAGGCCCTCACATGTTAGGCAAGTGTTTAACCACTGAGCTCTACCTCCAGTCCTTGTTTAAAATTTTGAGACAGAATTTTGCTAAGTTGCCCAGGCTGACCTCAAATTTGTGTTCCTTTAGCCTTAGACTCCCAAGTAGCTGGGATTACAGGCCGGTGCCATTGTGCCTTGTTGCTGAAATGACTTTTTCTTCTTTTTTAGAATTTTATTTTATTTACTTGAGGGTTTTTGTTTTTTTGTTTTTTTTTTTGTCTTTTTCGTTTTTATCGGTACCAGGGATTGAACTCACGACTGCCTGCTTGCAAGGCAGGCGCTTATGCCGCTGAGCTAAATCCCCAGGCCTACTTGAGTTTTTTGAGGCAGGAATTTGTTGTGTAGCTCAGGTTGGCCTTGAACTCACAGGGATCCTCCTGCCTCAGCCTTCTGAGTGCTATGCTCAGGAGCGCCACCATGTCTGGCTTCTTTTCCTTTCCTTTCTTTTCCTTTTCTCTCTTCTTCTTTTCTTCCGTGTCCTCCTCATCCTTTTTCCTCTTCTATTTTTTTTTCTTTCTTTTTTAATGGCATTGGGGATCAAACCCAGGAGAACTCTACTACTGAGCTATATCTTTATCCCCCACTTTATGACTCAGGGTCCCCCTAAATTACCCAGGGGGCACTTGAACTTTTGATCCTCTTGCCTCAGCCACCCTAGTGCTGGGATTACAGGCACAAGTAACCCATCTTGAAGTGATTTTCTTAGTCTTGCCTAAGCAGCTTTCTACCTAAGACCCTAAAGTGAATATGGGATCCAGGTTCACATCCATGGATGAAATAGGCTTCAGATTATGTAGGGAGAGGTTAATTAGGGATATTAGTTACAGAATCATAGAAGCTGGATTGTGTTTGATCTGGCAGTCTCTAGAAAGTATTGGTTGAGATTTGGCCCGGCCCACAGTCAGGAATCACTGTCCATGGACTACAGGAAGGAGATGTTCCACTTCCTGTGGGCTCAGCGGGTTGACTGCCCAGGTCCGGAGGGACGATGTGCTCTGCATGGCTCAGAGGGAACGAGGAGATGCTTTCGGGGCAGGTGACTTGTGGGTGAGAGGTACAGTGTCTCACTGCAGACCCAGCTCAGGTTCTGGTGTATGAGTGGCTGGGGCCCCCATTCTGAGTGGATTTTGTGGGGTGCTTCTGCCAACTCCCTGAATGGCCAGAAATCCTCATTCAAGTGGAGAAGCTGTGGTTCCTGGGTCGACCTCCATCTGCCCAGAGATGTACTGGATTCCAGGTGTTCTTCCTGGGGAATGTGCCTCTGTCCTCCGACCCAAGTCCAGGGTAATATTCCCAGGACAGACACCCCATATGTGGGTGCAGTGTGCAGTGTGTGAGCTGTCCCTGCTGTTGCTTTTGCTCCCACAAACTTTGTCCACTTGTGGTGGAGTCATGGACAGATAAACATCACCCTCTGGCGAGGGCTCCTTCCTGAGGCTGAGAAGGCACCTTGGAGTGATTTGGCATTTTCACCTTTCCCCCTGCTCAGTTCACCCCCTCATCCACGGTTCCCCTGCTGCTTGTCAAGGGGAGGGGGGTGGGCACAGCTTGTGCACCCCACAACCTGGCTCTGTGGTTGCGCTTCATGCCTGAGTGCACTGTGGCTCTGCTGGCCTGGGACAGGGCTGGCAGGGCGGCTTCTTCCTGTGCCCAGAAGGAGCGGACCGCAAGCTCTGAGCATTGTGGCTGAGTCCGCTGGGCTTCTGCAGGAAGCCTCCCAGAAGTTGGGGACCTATCCCAACTGACAGTTCTGGCTTCCGCAAGAGTGGGTCCATGGGTTGTTGGTCCTGCCAGTTGGTCCTGGAGCTCCCAGCTCAGTTGTCCCTTCAGCATGTGGCATCCAGGATGGGTCAGGAGCAACACCTGGTGCAGGTTCGTAGCCCTGCTTGGAATCAGAATTCATTTAGTTGTTGTTGTTGTTTTTTTTTTTTTTTTGTGGGAGCGCGGTGGCTAGGGATTCAACCCAGGGCCTTGCTCATAGGCAAGTGCTCTACCCTGAGCTAAATCTGCAGCCCTTTTTAAAACTTGACTTTGAGTCAGAATGTCACTAAGAGGCTCAGGCTGACCTAGCACTCGTGTGTGCTTCTCCTGCCTTGGCTTCCTGAGCAGCCAGGATTGTGGATGTATACCATGACTCCTGGCTGAAGTCTCTTTTCCGATTCCTCTGTGAGTGAGAGACTCCTTTTAGGTTTAAACCCCTGAGATCCACTGGCATTTAAAGCAATGCAGAAGATTTGCTTCCAAGCCCCAGCTTGGGCCCTTGGAAGTTAGCTGGCTTTTCCCTCTTTGGCATGAATGGGGGCTCTGCCTGCCCATGTGTGTCCTCCACACACAGCTTTCCTGGAGCTGGAGGTAGAGCTGAGCCCTTGAGGACAAGTTGGTGGCTTGGGCAGGCTGTCCAGCTTGCTCAGAAGCCTGGCCTGTGTGAGTGGCCTTTGGTAATGGCACTGGGTCAAGATTCCATTCCAGCCTGGCCAACAGCCGGGGCTCCCCGAAGGAAGACTTGCCCAGATGTGGGCAGATGTGGTAAGATCTGGGCTGTGCTAGTCAAGGCCAGGTGGTGGCACAGAGGGTGGACAAGGGCCACTCTGAACAACTCTTTGCCTTTCCTAGGAGCACCTTCTGCTCCATCATTGCACAGCTCACAGAGGAGACACAGCCGCTGTTCGAGACCACGCTCAAGTCCCGGGCTGTGTCCGAGGACAGTGACGTCAGGTTCACTTGCATTGTCACAGGTAATGTGGTGCTGTCCATACATTTTATTCCGGGGTCTCTGCATGGAGTGGGGCTAGGGGGCTGGGGTACCTCGTAGTGATGGGCAGTGGGCCGTGTGCAAACCTGTGCAAGCTAACATCGGCCTTCTCAGCTTTCTCTCAAGCTCAGTGTCCCTGGCAGGCAGTTGTCCCCTGCCCTTCCTCTGGAGTCACACGTGTACCCAGACATTTCCTCAGGAAGGCTTCCTTACCTTCAGAGACCACATGACTGCTGAGGTGGCCTTGGAGGCTCCAACGTGTTACGGTTGAGTTGCTCATGACTTGGGAGTATCTGGTCTGGGAGGCAGTGACATGTGTGGCACTGGGGCAACCCTGGAGGCAAAGTGCCTGGCTTGGGGTCATTTCCCCTCCAGGGTGTGACAGAGGGGGTTGTGGAACCTCACCGCCTCCTGAGCTGTAGAGTGAGGATAACGTAGCGTGAGCTTTGTAGAGGCAGGACATTGAGCGAATCCATACAAAGCCTTCATGGCAGCATCACACATGACTGGTGGGAGTGAAGAGTGGGTATTGGTATTTTGCTGAGCTTCATGGTGGTGCCTGAAGCAACAGCTGGGCAGAACCGGAAGTGCTGTACCTTGGAAGGGGAGGAGGGGCCCTCGGAATCTAGGAAGCTAGCTCCGGGCCTTGTTCTCTCCCACACCCCCAGCACAGCCACCCATCGTGTCTCCTACCCTGTGCAAGGCCCACAGGACACCTGCCTACCTCTGCAGATGCCCACCCCTTGTAGCCAAGTGGGCAAAGCCAGGGTCCCAGGTCCCAGCTTCCTCCGAGAGCCTGTGATTTGAGTTAGTCAAGTTTCTAGCTGTGATCTACCCAGTCGTGGGGGCCTTGTGCTCCCAATCAGTGGAGTGGCTTTTCTGGGCTGAGGTCCCTCTCCCTCAGGCTGCCAAATGCCAGGTCGAGGACACTGCCCTGGGGACAGTGTTGCCTGCACCCTAAACAGTGTGACCTGTGTTGCAATGTTTGTCTGTTTCCATTGTGGTTGAATTCTTACAAAACCCTGTGAAGTAAGTGCTATTATTAGTCAAGTTTGCAGAGGAGGAGCCTGGAAGCCGCAAGGTGACTGGGGAGGAGGAGACGCTGCCTCTTGCTGTCCGGCACATTAACAGTCCCACTAACAGTTTTCTCACCACCCTATACGTTCTCGTGTGCTGCTTTCTCTATTTGGAACATCCTCCCCTCCTTGTTAAAGAAAGTTAGACTTCAGTTTATCAAAATATACATACTGTTTGAGGCTTCAAATTCCACTCAACTTCTAGTTGGGACTGGTGGCACACACCTGTAATTCCAGCATTTGGAACGCGGAGGCAGGAGCATCACCATGAGTTTGAGGCCAATTTGGGCTACACAGTAAGTTCAAGTCCAGCCTGCATTACATAGCTAGACCCTGCACAAAATGAAACAAAACAAAACCCATGAAAAACTAAAAAATAGGTGCAAAGTATACCCAGCTTCTATATTTATCAAAAAGACTAGTTTGTCTTTCTTAAAGTGATTGTTCTCAGCACTCAGCCCTCTCTTGGCGTGTACTCATGGCCACAATGCTGAGTAACAGCAAAGCTTCTGACTTGTGAGTCTGGGGAGTTAAATGTTCTCTGCTGAATTCTTGTGATTGTAGATTAGGAATTAAGTTACCCCACAAATTTTGCTTAACTCTACAGTTATTGTTTGCCTTATTATACCTATGTGATATTTATTATACTACCATATGATGTTACACTCCAATCACACTGTTTATGGTTATATACAGTATATATTTGTGTATCTGTATATCCAAATGTGTGTATGTATAGCATGCTTACTATAATCATACTGTATATGATACTATATGTGATGATACTGTTTCTCTTTAAACTCAAGACTTCCATGTTGAGCTATATGTCTAGCCCTTTTTCTAAATTTTTTATTTTGACTCAGGGTCTCAGTATGTTCCCCAGACTGGGCTTGAATTTGTGATCTTCTTGCCTCACTCTCCCATCTAGCTAGGATTGCACGTGTGGGTCACATCCAGCCCCAGTAGCCTCTTTTTGTAAAGTTTTTAGTTGTTTGAGACTAAATCTCTCTATGTAGCCCGTGTCACAGTCCTGCACAGCCTCCCAAATGCTGGGGTGATGGCGTGTGCCTTGAGGTCTGGCAGCTTCCTGGGCTCTGTGCCCCTCCTTGGTTTCTTCTCTTGCTTTGTTGAAGTTTTGTCTCTGGTAGTTTTATCAGGTTCCAGAGGTGGTAGAGAAGGCACTGAGTGCGAGCTCTAGACCTCACTCCTCTGAGCTGTTCTGCTGTGATGTGGTTCATACACAGTTGTGTCTCTTAACCTCTCTCCTGTGATGGATTTCCTGTTTTTAGCATTCTATATGTTCTCTTTCTTGATGTATATTATACATATGTATATATATATATATATATATATATTTTTTTTTTTTTTTAAAGAAGGCAGTATTTAATCCTATGCCAGCTCACCGTTGAATCTTCATGCCAGCAGACTATTGCAGGATAATACCACAAAAGCAAAAGCCCCAGTTTACAGAGAGTTTAGTTTACATAGAATTTGGCAGTGGGAAGTACAAAGCAAGTGACAAAACATTACATCCTTGGTTACATGCATTGAGTCATATATTGACAGGCAGGTTAGTCTGAAACAGATTTGTTGAAACAAAGGAACTGTTTATCATTGAACAAGGGCAGGGGGCCCTTACAGGGTGAGCACAGTCCAAGGTGTCACCACAGCACTGAAACACTCCAGGGAGGGGACTCTTCCAAGGTGTCCTTGACCAGCCCAGGGTGCCTTAAGGGACAGACAATTACTCTGACTCAGTGCTTATCAGAGGTATGCGGCTAGGCTTTAGATGTCAGGGTCAATTGAGTTCAGCAGAAACAGCAGAACAGAAACTTGGTCAGAGACCCCTAAACAATCATGAAATACCTGTAAGTTCGCTATTTTATAAATGTTCTTACATTATAATTGTGCCCCACCACTCCCCCTGTTTCTATTATGGAGGAGAATCCTCTCTCAAGGTTTCCCCAGTTTCTTCAGTAGCAAGGAGCTGATGAGAGGGAGGAGCTTGCGAAGGAAATTGGTGGTGAACAGCTTAACGCGTAGGGGGCGGTCTATACTTTGAATATTTTTTGAGGCAGAATTACAGTTTATTGAGTGAGGTTTTGTGTAGCTCAGAGACATTTTGGGGAGGCAGGAACATTAGGACAGTCAAGAAAAAGGAAGCCACCCAATCCAGATCCACTGAGAACTGCTCTAGTGCTGCACTGGTGAAGACCACTGAAGCTGCTGCGTGAGCCGTGGCTGTCACTGTTGCTGCCCATGGGAAGGGGTGCTGGGGCTTTTTCTACTTCCTTCTGGGTGATTTCCTGTTCTTGTTTCACTCATCACCATCTATGGATGGGAAAGTGTGGTGGGGGGCATGTCTGGTCTCCCCGAGTTTAGCTCATGTGAGCTTCAGAGGCAGCACAGGCAGCCTTTTAGGGTTTTCGGTTTCTATGGGAAGAGGCAAACCTTCATTCAGCACATGAAAGGTGCACCAGGGAAGAGGCAGGGACCTAGTGCAGTATGTACCTGAGTATGTACCTAGCATTTATTTGATTTATTTTTTTATTTTAAAGAGGGAAAATAAAATCTCAAAACATGGGGCTGGGGATTTAGCTCAGCGGCATAAGTGCCTGCCTTGCAAGCAGGCAGTCGTGAGTTAGAACCCTGGTACTGATAAAAAGGAAAAAGAAAGAAAAAAAAAAAAAAGAAAATCTCAAAACATGATAATTAGGGGGTATTAATGGGATATATATCGCATATTATCTTCAAAACAGTTATTCAGAGTATAAAACATCTGCATTTAATCATTTAAACAATATATACTTTGAACTTGAATTTGAAATTGCTAATGTCTTGAATTTTTATACACTTGTAGAATGCTAACACATGTCCATAGGGGAAACATTTTTACTACAGGTGTAGACAGTTGAAAGTAAGCAACTCAAGATTAATATTTATAAAGAACGAAGGCAACCTTTCTAGTAATCTCCCTGATTTATATTCTTGTTTTCGTAGCTTCCTGGAAAGAATGCATGGAAAATAAATGTCAGACTCATTGTGTCTGAGAAGCTGCTTTCACCACTTTACCCCTAGCGGAAAGTTTGGCTGGGTATAGAATTCTAAGTTAAAAATACGTTTCCTTCAGAGCTTTAAAGGCCTCTCTCTACTCTTTCCTTCCTTCCAGTGTTGCTGGTCAGAATGGGAAGGCAGTTTGAACCCAATTCTTTGCAGGTGACCAGTTGTTCTCCTCCTGGTATCCCATGACAGTGCCCTTTGAGTTGGGTCTTCACTCTAGGGCATGCTCTGGTATTTTAGTTGGGAACTGAGATTCAGTCTTCAGTTCTAGGAAATTTGATGTTTTAATGTTGATTTCCTGTTCCTGTTTTCCTCTGTTCTTCCTTCCTGAATCCTGCTTTGGATGTCTGTTCCCATGATCTAGTTCTATTTTTTTTTTTTTTTTATCTTCTCCTCTCCTTTCTTCTGTCTTTTGGCTCTACCTTCTGGGAAAGTCTCGAATCATTTTGTTCCCAGTGTCATTATGGGAATAAGCTTTCCCCTGCTTCAAGCCCCACCTGCTGGAATAAACTTTGTCTCTGCATCTCGTGACTGCCAGCCAGGCAGTGACCCTCCCTGCTGAGGCCTGCAGTGTCGTCCACTCTCCACACTTCATCCTCTGTGGTGCCTTCCCTCCCTCATCTCTGAGTTTATGCAGCAGATGAGGAAAGATTAGCATAGTGTGTCCCATAAGAAAGACCTTTCCAGCCACCAAGGAGAAAGTGCAGACCGTAGGAAGGGGAAGAAGGAAACCACAAGAGGCAGAAGGTCCTAGGAAACAGTTAGAAATTGGGGTTCTCCAGCCTGGAGAGGTGCCTGGTGACCAGCTGTGGCCTCCATGTGACACTACCATGCTGCCCCAGCTCATCCTGTGAAAACAGAGTGGCCATAGGTACCTGTCTTCTTCCCCTGGTCAGGGGTGTCCCTAAACAGGCCAGGATGGGCAGCCGCCAAGGGCCACCATGGCCAGACATGGGGCCAGTGCTTTCCTGGGGGTCAGGACCTGGTCTAGGCAAGAACACCCGTCGCTGTCCCTGCTGGTTGTTTGTGGGACACACATGGCCTGAGGAGGGATAAGGCTGTGGGAGTCTTCCCCCGGGGGTGGGCTTGATGGGCTTCAGAGGGCTTCCGTCTGGAGACTGCATCTCTGTCCACAGTGGCCACCTCTGCTGCTGTCCTCCACTCCACTGCTGTGCCCTGATGTTTGATGGGAAGCGGGAGCATCAGAAGGAGGCAGATGGGAGCAAGGCATTGAGTGTTCAGAAAGAACCAAGTCTCTAAAGAAATCCTTTTCAGAGAAATGAGTCTAATGTGATGACCCCTGGGGAGAAAACTTTATATATCATTATTGGAACCTTCATTGGAAAGGAAAAGGAACCCCGGTCCTGTGGCACATGCCAGCTGTGTGACCCTGGGGAATCACTTAGCTTCTCTGGGCCTTGTTTTCCCTCTGCAGACACTGGGGTTTAAAAATTTGCCATTTTATAGCAGAGAGGGACTTGAATGCTGGCTGTTTTGCTGCATCTTTAAATGACATTGTGAGGGAGCCTTCGTTTCACCAGCCTTGATTTCCCCTGCCTTCACTCGAGGGCTGGGATCAGGCACTCCTCCTAGAGTTTCTGAAGATTAGGTGAGATTATACCTGAAAGAGCTCGGCTCAGGTTCTGGCCCTCAGTGGAGCCAGCAGTGAACATCAGCAGCTATGCGCACAGGGCTGTTCTGAGGGCCAAATAAAGTTCTGTATTTGGACATTTTTAAAAAATTGAGCTCTAAGCAGGGAACGGTGGAGAAGAGGTTCCAAGTTGGGTGTCTGCATGGGCTGGGAAGAGGGAGTCCCAGGCTGTGGGGACAGGACAGAGGGCTCCATCCTGCTGTGTGCATGTGTGGGTATACAGGCACCCCTGCTGTGAGCACATACATGTGTACGTGCCCACCTGCACCCCGGGCTGTGTTTTAGGGTTAGCTCCTGCAGCCCAGGGATGGTGCCGCACTCTTGCTGTGAAGCCCTTGGCTGCCCATGGCCCTGCTGGCCGCCCTGCCTCCCACTGGCCTGGTGTCCCAGCAGCTGGGGCTGTGTTGCCCGGTCACGAGGTGGGAGGCTCTGCCTGGGCCTGGCGGGATGAGATCATTCCATGGGGCAGCGGGGACACCTGTGCTGGCCAGGGCCATAGGCGCAGTGATGTAACCAGGGACTTTAGCTCACAATGGAAACTTGGGACTCACTTTACAGCCAGCGCTGCTCGGTGTTCCCTGAGTGGCCAGCCACAGCCTCCCCCTGGCTCCCCGTGCCCATACAGTTACCTGTGTGCCCAGTCCCTCTGCTCTGTCCACTCACTGTTTTCCTGTGTCTCACACTTCCAGCAGGGTTTTACTCCGGGGCTCCTGTGCCTGTGTGCTGTCACAAGGGGCAGGCACAGAGTCCCGCACAAAATGGGCAGGAGAGACAGGCCAGGAGACGGATGCCAGCACTGACTGTGCGGATGGCATCAGACTTGACGTCTGGGGCGGAGCTGATGCGGAGCCCGCATCTCCCATGGTTCTGTGCGCCTTTGAAGTCTTGTCTGAATGCTGCTCACTCAAAAGCCCCCATGCACCTCTGGCTCCAGTCTCTGCCTCCTGAGGTCTTCCATTATCTGTAAATATTTGATCAGGATTGATTCCCTTGCAGGCATGGGGCTAGAAGTGGGGACAGAGCTGGAAATAGCACAGATAAGTCCCCAACTGTCCTGAAGTTGACGTGCTACACCGAGTGTGTTGGGGCAGACAGGAGGACACCAACACACTTCTAAGGCAACGCACTCCTTGCTCATATGTCAGGAGCAATGAGCTTCATGGGGCTGGGGGAGATACCTGTCAGGAGGGACAGGAGGCCGAGGGGGAGAGCTGCTGCCCTTGGGGTGTGAGGTGGAACTGGAAGGTGCCGGCCACGTCAGAGGTGAGTGGCAGACCCCAGGCTGGGGTGCCAGGAGCAAGGTGCCAAGCAGTGCAGCGAGGGGGCCTGGGCCACAGGGCTGCACGAGGCCACGTTCACTCTGCCTCTGGGCTGGACTGCCGAGAGGCCAGGGTGGCAGTGGGAACCTCAGTGAAACCCAGGTGGGAGGGGATGATGGAGATCAGCCCTTGGAGCTCTTCCCGAGGGAGGGCCAATAGGATTGCTGAACTGAGAGGCTATGAGAGGAAGAATGGACAGAGGGTGGCCACTGTGTCACAGTTGGCCCATGCTGTTAGAAGGATGTGCATGTCCTGAGGCCCGTGGGGCAGGTGGAGAGAGGAGCTTGGGTGGTGCTCATGGCCTGTGAGAGCGAGCATCAGTCACACATGCAGCTGTGGAATCAAGGGAGAGGATTGGGGGGGACGGCAGGGAGAGGTTGAGCCAGATGTGGAGAGTCAGGCGTGTCCAGCCCTTCAAAAACCAGGCCAGGATTTGATCCCTGGGTTGTGAGTGTGGATGGAGGCTGGAAAAGGGCTCTGAGCCCTGAACCGTGGGGCCTGTCTAGGAGGGGAGGAGGACCAAGAAAGACACCAGGCGTGGCTCATGGTGCTGGGGGAACAGCTGGAGAAGGAAGAGCCTCTTGGAAATGGACGGATGGGACATGAGCACTGTCCTCAGCACTGGCAATGTGCAAGTCATGGGTGTCCTTGACAAGGGCAATTCTGGTGCAGTGTTGGGTACAGAGGCCTGGTTAGAGGAAGAAAAGTGATGAGAGCAAGGACAGGCAACTCATGATTATTATTATTACTATTATTAGAAATAAGGTCTTGGTTTGTTGCCCAGGTAGTATCTTCCTGCCTCAGCCTCCTGAGTAGTTGAGATTATAAGCAGCTGGCACCTCACCTGGCTCTCAAACCAATTTTATTTTTGTATTGGGGCTCAAATCCAGGAGGACTCTACCGCTGAGCTATACGCTCTATTCTTTTTTAAGTTTTGTATTTTGTGACAGAGTGTATTGTTAAATTATGCAGGTTGGCTTTGAACTTGCAATTCTCCCACCTCAGCCTCCCAGAGTGCTGGGATTACAGGTGTGCACCACCGTACTGGCTTCAGACATGGCTTTTAAAGAACTGTTCGGTAAAGGAGAGAGATGGCAGGATCTTAAGGAGGACATGGAGCCAAACATGTCTGTCAAGGAAGGGCGATGGTACAGAAGGCCCTGTGCTGCTGGGATGGTACGTGCTGGAGAGGCAGCCTCGAGGGGGAGGCTGGACCGCAGGGCAGGCAGGGCGTGTGCAGGTGCCAGCCCCAGGAGCGTTGCTGTCCTGCCTGGCTGCTGGTCTTATCTTTTCTACTGTGCAGTAAGTTCCTGAGAGCAGAGCCTGGGCTCTAATGCTTGCGTATGTTGGAGGGAGAGTTAAGAGGCTTTGATCTCTATCAGTAATGCTGGTCGGTTGCAGTCTGAGCCAGAACTTCCTAGGGGTGGCCTCGAGGAACGCGCCTGTGCTCAGCATGACTGGAATCCAGATTTGGAAGCTGCCGGGGCTCTCTGCCTCACATCCCTTGTTCTACCCTAGGGTCCTCAAAGAAGAGGGGCTGGGAAGACACTTCAGGGGGTCTCACGACGGTGACTGGGGAGATGTGGATGGGTGGACAGAAGGACGATGAAGGATGATGGAAAGGGCAGGGGGCAGGTGGCTGGCTTAGCTGCACTGTCAAGAAATGCAGCTCAGGAGCTTGGCGAAAGGAGGGCTCTGGGCAGTGGTGGTCCAGAGGGAGTCCTCCCTGTAACTGAGGTTGTGCAATGAGCCACGTAGAGAGGGAACACATTACTACTAGTCAAGGATTTCTGGAAATTCCACGCTTCACTTCCAACCATAGTTTTATTCCAGCGTTCGACTGGGACAGGCTGTGGTTACTAACGCATTGTCTGAGCTGTGCAGGGAAACTGTGGGCCCAGTGGGTCCAGGGCGATGGTCTGGGGCAGCCGGGCCTTTTGTTCTCCGTACCGCTGTTTTGGAATTCACCTTACTGCAATTCAGTGTCCTGCTTCCTCCTCAGGGTACCCAGAGCCAGAGGTGACCTGGTACAAGGATGACACCGAACTGGACCGCTACTGTGGCTTGCCCAAGTATGAGATCACTCACCAGGGCAACCGCCACACCCTGCAGCTGTACAGGTGAGGGTAAGGGGCGTGGCACACACTCTACCCCCACCCCAGGGCATGGAGTGTCCCCAGTGGAGACAGCTTGACACCTCCTGGAGTAGAGCACAGGGTCATGAACCCAGCCGAGCCACCTGGTGAGCCGTGTTTGCCTTCCAGGGCCTGGGATCTCCTGAGGCCAGGGAGGGAGTATCTCTGACAGCCACAGAGCTGAGAGCAACCCCACTGAAACATTTTCCATGAGATCAGAAACCAAAAAAAGCAACTGAGTTACCATTACTTCACAAGGGGCCGTGCTGGTCACCTGCTCCCTGAAGCAGCTCTCCTGAACTTTGAGTCTAATCCCTCTTGGGACAGCACGACCTTGGACAGGTGCCATTCTCCTCTGGCCTCTGTTTCCTCCCCGGGAACAGAGGGTGTGGTAAGGAGGTGATGTCACAGGTAGGCTGTGGCACACCTCATGTTCCTGCCTTTAGGTGTCGAGAAGAAGATGCTGCCATCTACCAGGCCTCTGCCCGGAACACCAAGGGCATTGTGTCCTGCTCGGGGGTCCTGGAGGTAGGGACCATGACCGAGTACAAGATCCACCAACGCTGGTTCGCCAAGCTGAAGCGCAAGGCTGCGGCCAAGATGCGGGAGTTGGAGCAGAGCTGGCGGCATGGAAAGGAGGCGCCTGGGGAGGCCGAGGCGCTGCGCAAGCTCAGCCCTGACCGCTTCCAGCGCAAGCGACGCCTGAGCGGACCCGGGGTACCTGTCCCCTCGGCCCCATTCCCACCCAAGGAGGCTAAAGATGAGGCCCCGGAAGCTTGGCAGGAGGGTGACACAGAGTCTGCTCAGCACCCCGGTTTGGGCCTGATCAACAGCTTTGCTCCCAGTGAGGCGCCCACCAACGGGGAGCCTGCACCAGAGAATGGCGAAGATGTGGAACACAGCTTGCTGACCTACATCTGTGAGGCCATGGAACGGGGGCCCTCAAAAGCCCCCCAGAAGGAGTCTGGGGCCAAAAAGAAAAGGAAAGACGAGGAAGCCAAGCCAGGGCTAAAAACACCAGAGTTGGAGAAGGCAGCCCGAACTCACCACTCTGCAGAAAACTGTGTTTCTTCAGACCAGCCTGATTCTGGTGGGACACAGGGGCCCGTGGGCCCAGAGCAGGTTCAGGCCCAGCGCAGAGGCCGGGCAGCCCAGGGGTCTGTGTCCCCTGGGACCAATAGTGTCAAGAAGCCAGCCTCTACTGTGGGCACTCAAGACAAGGCTCGTGATGGCCCTGCCCAGGTTCCAGCTGCTGTCCCAACCCCAGGCCCAGGCCAGGAAGGGTATTTCTCCCTGAAGGACATATATATGGAGAGCGCCCTGGTGGCCAGGCCTCAGGGACAGGGGAAGTCTCTGCCCCCTAGTGTCAGGGCACCTGCAGAGCATCCTCCTGGGAAGGTGCCCATCAGGTCCAGAGGTGCTGAGATGCCCACTGATCCTGGTCAGCACACCCCCTCCTCGGAGCCTCAGCCTGCTCGGCCTTTTAACAGGAAGAGATTTGCCCCTCCGAAGCCCAAAGGGGAGCCCCATGCTGATAGTCAGCTTCCCTCTTCCTTGAATGGAGCCTTGGATCATAGTACCCAGAGCTCTGGACAAGTCTCGCCTCAAGCCTCTGCCCAGGTACCCACACCTCCTGCCCGCCGGAAGCACAGTTCGAGGGACAGCCCTGTGCAGGGGCGAGCCAGCCACAGGCCCCCACCAGAGGTGAGTGCAGCTGAGGCTGGGAGCCCCTCTGGGAAGCTGACCTCATGGAAACTCTTGCTGCAACAGCCTGGCAGCCAGCAGCAGGGTGAGGGTGGGGGTTATTTATAGTAGGGGTGGGGAGAGGGGGTGCCAGCCAGGAGTAGGGACCACAAGCATGGCTCCTCTCAGCCAACTCCAGAGGCCAAGCGTGCGGGCAGCACAGCCTGATGTGGCTCTCTCTCCTCAAGTGTGAGAGTTCACAGCCAAGAGGACTGTGCTGGGGGTGGGGTGGGGGTGTCAGGGCGTTTTCCATGGCTGGGCTGAGACTGGGGTTTTGTGGAGTGATGGAGCAGCAGGAGTGAGCTGGGGTGTGTGGTGTGTCTCAACCGGGGTGCTTGTTAGAAGACTTTAAAAATACCTTGTGTCCTGCAAATGCTACTTTAATCTGGGTTTACCTAAGGTTTTGGAATCAAGTATATCTATGCAGTGTGATCAAAATACGTAGTTGGAGGTCTATAGTTTTAAAAAGAGATTTATTACAGTAAAAGACATGTTGCTATGAGTTCCCCTTTAAAAATCCCCTTGCTTCGAATCCACGTATCCCCTCCTGCTGACCGCTTTCTGAAGCAGTTCTGCAAGTCCTCTTGTGAGGGTATCTTTAGTTGTGTTGTCACAGCTGCCTCAGTGTCCAGCATTGATTCAAAGTGTATCTTTCATGGTCATTTTGACTTGGATGAAGAGCCAGGAGTTGCCTAGTACCAGATCTGATGAGTAAAGTGGATGGGGACTCACAGTAATGTTTTTATTGAACAGAAATTGCAGTGAATAATTTGAATCCATTCAGGACATTAAGGCAGCCACTTGAAAGACACTCAGGAGAGAGGACTTCCAGGACTGCTTCAGAAAATAGCAAGGATGATGGGATAATTGTGTTTGAAGCAAGAGGTGTATTTTAAGAGAGAGGAATGGCAATGTACCTTTCACTGTAATTGAAAAATATTTAAATATGTATTTTTATAAGTGCTTTTATTATTTTTTATGTCCAATTTTTAAAAAATTTTATTTTGAAGGTAGTAAAAATACAACAGAACAAGACAGAACAAACCAATCGAGACAATGCAGTGAAATTGGTACAGAACTTCACAGCAGGATACTGGGATGGTAGTAATAGGTACTATAGTATACATTGTTATCTTCACAATAGTTGTCCAATCAGTTAAGTATAGTGAAATCAAACCAAAAACAGAACATTATAAAACCAATTGAAAGAGAGTATTGAATAGAGCAAAACAAACATGACAAAACAAAACAGTGAAAACGACCTTTGCTTTGAAACAGATAGAAGGAAATCCCCATATTTGCTATATTGCATATGGTCGTCCTCCCAAGAGATGCTGAGACAGCGATCCCTAGTTGCTCATGGGGAGGAGGAGTGTGTGTTTGATTCTCAGCCTGTGCAACTGTAAGCTCACATGAGCCATTGTTTCTCCTCCTGACCCACACTGGGAGCGCTTACCAAGAGGGTGGAAGAATAAGCTTCCTGAGTCCTACCATGGCCAGATCTGGGGAGCACTGGTTCTCCTCCTGGCCTGTGCCAGGGGCACTTATCATAAGTGCTTTTAAATATGTAGTTTTGATTACATCATATCTATGCATATTTGACTGCTTTAATAAGATATGATCATACTACTTGATAAGGTATTACAAAAATTGGGCTGGTTTTAGTACAGTGCCTGGTGCACGTTAAGAACTAAATGAACAAGGGGCTGGGGATTTAGCTCAGCGGCATAAGCACCCCAGTCATGAGTTCAATCCCTGGTACCGATAAAAACGAAAAAGACAAAAAAGAAAAAAAAAAAAACTAAATGAACAGACACTGAACAGACACTGTTGTAAAGTATTCCCATGGTGGGACACAGAGGTAAACCTTTGCTTTATTTGGGAACCAGGGTGCTGCCATTTTCTGGGGAGCAGGTAGCCAACAGGGAAAAGATGTTTGGTGTGGGGGTGGAGAAGTGGGGTATCTGCTTCTCAGCGTTAAGGAGTCAGGAGAGCAGGATTGGAAAGACCGCAGGAGGGTCAGCATGTCTTGCCTAGGCAGAGAAGACAGGATACCCCAAGGGCTTAAGGAGACAGTGGTGTGCAGCTTGACAGAAGACAGGGTTTCCTATGAGTTGCAGGAGTGAAGGTGGGTGCATAAAATAGATACGATGTGTTTATATTAAGAAATACACTTGATAGTTAATGTGGAATTTCAGTTTAACTGGGGACGCTCTATTTCTTTTTGCTAAATCTGGTGACCCCAAGTGGAGACAGGCTCTGATTGTGGCAGGAACTAAGATGTGACAATTTCCAGGTGTGGCAGAAGCAGGAGCCTCCGGTCCCGAGGTGGAGACTTTCTGGAGAAAGCAGTGATCCACAGCAGGGTGGCCTGGGATGGGTGGTCTTGGGACAGTGGAGGGAGGCACATGGGTAGCTCCATGGAGGACAGAGTGGCTTCCCTGGAGGAGTACTTCAGTGGGGAGGGAAGATGTCTCAGTGTGCTGAGGTCACACTGTAGTTCAGAGGGTCAGGAGTAGGCAGCCCCAAGGCCCTCAGGCCCAACTCTGGAAGCTACTGGTGGTTCCTGGTACCCTGTGCTGGCCCCAGGCTATGCTGGCCATAGTATGAAAAGTTTTAAGTGACCTGGGAAGCTCCATGAGTAGCGTCATGTGTCTAGCAGCCCACGGCTGGACTACAGGGCCTTGTCATAGAGATGGCCCTTGCAGGCTCTGGGAGCTCATTCAGAAAGGGAACAGGCTGGCTGCCAAGTGTATGCGTGACTCTGACCTCTCTGCCCAGTGGCCTCTTCCTGGCTGGGCCCCTGCCTGGGCTCCCCTCAGGTAGAGGAGGTGCTCAGGCACTGCAAGCACCTGACAGGTTATGCTCCTGGGCTCTGACTCTCCTGGGAAAACGTTGCATGGTTTCTGTTTGACTTTTAAATTTTTATTTATTTACTTATTATTTTAAAGATAGTAAAATCCAACAAAACAAAACAGAACAAAGCCAATCAAAACAAAGCAGCAAAATTGGCACAGAACTTCCAAGCAGGATACTAGGAAAACAACAATAGCTACTATAGTATATCTTTTTACCTTCACAATAGTTGTCCATTCCATCAGGTATAGCAAAATCAAACCAAAACAGTAAAACCAATCAAAGCAGAATGTTGAATAAAGCAAAACAATCAGAACAAAGCAAAATAGTGAGAACAATATTTGCCTTCACAGACAAGATAGAAGGAAATCCCCCGTGTTTGCTATATTGCATACTGTCATCCTCCCAAAAGATACTCAGATCTCTGGCCCCAGGACTGAAAATCAATCAGACAATAGAAGCACTTAGTTGCTATATGCACCTTATTATTATTATTATTATTATTTTGTTTTTTTCATTTGTGCACCTTAGTTGCTGTCAACTCAGCCCGTCCTCCGAACCAGGGAGGGGTTGCTTATGGGGGAGGGGCTTGAGTCTCAGCCCCCACGCAACAGTCTCACAGGAGGCGCTGACTTTCTCTTTCTGGAAGCTGAGTGGCTTACCAGAAAGGCTGGCTGGTTGGCTTCTTGTTGGATCTTCCCAGTTCCCAGCATGGCCCATTCTTGGGAGGTGCTGACTTCTCTCTTCTCTATTTGATTGTTTTAAAACTTTAAAACATTTTGAAATCTACCTGTGAAAAAATATATTCAGCATCTATGCACATTTTAAGTGTTGCTTTATAGTGAAATGAATTGACTTTTCATATTCATGTTACTAAAGATCCTGCCTCCTTCTCATTATTTCATGATCATTTCCCCATCATTTCTTTTGTTTTGATCTCCCCCCCCCCTCCGGGGCCAGGGATTGAACTCATGACCTTGTGCTTGCCAGGCAGGCACTTAATCCACTGAGCTAAATTCCCAGGCTCTGTTTTGATCTTTTAAGACAGAGTCTTGTTATGTAGCTCTGGCTGACCTCAAACTCCTGCTGATCCTCCTGCCTCAGCCTCCTCAGTGTTGGCATTATTGATGTGTGTGCTATCTACCTAGCCCCACAGGTTTCTAAGATTTCTTTACAGCTGTATCTTTTTTGTTGTTGTTTGCTTTTTCCAGACAGGGTCTCACTATACAGTCCAGGCTGGTCTTGCATCTTTGGTCCTTCTGCGTCAGGCTTCTGAGCACTGGGATTACAGACATGTGACACCATGCCCAGTTTTACGGCTATCTATCTATCTATCTATCTATATTTGTCTTTTTGAGACAAGATTTCGGGATGCAGTTCAGGCTGGCCTTGAACGCACTGTGGTCCTCCTGCCTCAGTCTTCCAAATTCTAGAATTACGGGCGTGCACTGCCATGCCTGGCCACAGCTGTATTTTGTATGGCTGTGTAACAGTGGTGGTGAACCTATGGCACGTATGTTGTTTGTTTTTCTTTTAAGACAAAAGATAAAGTAAAACTTGTTTTTTCTGAACCAAAACCCCAGTATTCAGGTTTAATTGCAGTGCTGGCACTTTGTGATAAGTAAATGGGTTTTAGGTTGTAGTTTGGGCACTCGCTTCTGAGAGGTTTTCTCTCACTGCTGTATAAGATGCTGTAGTATGAGTATTTTAACTACTTTTTTCTGTAGTATTTATGCTTCCCTTGTAAATTCTGAGATTATGCATTTTTCTTATAGAAAAATTATCTTTATTTTTCTATTTTTTGTTGTTTGCATTCTTTCATTTAATTTTTAAATTAATCTAGAATTTATTTGGGTATATAGCATAGCATCAATCTCTAGCTTGCTTTTATTAATCTTGTTTTTTGTTTGTTTTGAGACAGGGTCTACTACCATAGGGGTCTATTACTATGTAGTGCAGGCTGGCCTTGAACCACAGTGACCCTCCTGTCTCATCCTTCTAGTGCTGGGATTGCAGGCATGCAACATGACATCTTGCTCTTTCTTTGTTTCTTTCTTTCTTTCTTTCTTTCTTTCTTTCTTTCTTTCTTTCTTTCTTTCTTGTAC